TCCATCCGTTCCACGAACACGTCTGCCCATCTCGTTGGTGGTCTTCCTCGAGGACGTTTGGCTTCGCGAGGAATCCACTCAGATGTTCTTAGTGTCCATCTATCGTCCGTTCTTCTCATTATGTGACCGGCCCATCGGTGTTTCGCTTTCGCAACGTATTCCGCTTTGTCACGAAGACGGGACATTCTTCTCATATCCGTGCTGCGAAGTCCGACTAGATGTTGCTTGTGTCGGGTCATCTTCAGAAGACTGCGCTCGAGCGCTCTGTGGGTGGTCCTTAAAGCTTTCGACGTGGCTACGGTGTCGGCCCAAGTCTCAGCTGCGTAGCAGAGCGCTGGGAGAACGGTTGAGTCGAACAGATGGGCACGAAGCTCCGGGTCCGTCAGTTGGTCGGTGGCTTCCTTCAGAGGCCCGAAGGCGGCCCAGGCTGCTCTTCTTCTCCTGTTAAGTTCTTCCCTCAAGTCGTTCTCCATGTTCATCGAACGTCCCAGATACACGTAAGAAGACGTCTCCATAATAGAAGTGCCTTCCAATTCCATTTCTGCATTTCGTAAAGGGCGTTCATCGTAAACTGAGTCTTCTTCCGATTTATTCGCAGTCCAATCTTCTTCCCTACTTCGTTCAGTTCCTTCAGCATCGTCTCTGCTTCGGTGATACTGCTCGAGAAGAGAACGATGTCGTCCGCAAAACGAAGGTTGGACAGGAATCTCCCATCAACTCGTATGCCTCTCTCGTCCCAGTCCAGTGACTTCATCACTCACTGCAAGGCCGCGGTGAACAGCTTCGGCGAGATTGTGTCGCCTTGTCGGACATCCTTCCTGATTGGTATGGTCAGGGGGGCGATGGAATAGCTGCATCGTCGTTGTACAGTCCTTGTAGCAGTCGGCTAACGTCCTCACGTAAGCTGGGTCCACTCCTTGATCGACTAGCGCAGAGAGGATGGCGTTGGTTTCGACGCTGTCAAAGGCTTTTTCGTAGTCGACAAAGGTTAGGACGAGAGGCAATCGGTACTCCCGGCAGACTTCTATGACCCTCGAAACGGTCTGGATGTGGTCCATGCAGCTGAATCCTTTGCGAAATTCAGCTTGTTCTTGGGGTTGAGCTTTATCCAGTGTCCTTGATATGCGAGCGAGGATAATCTTCGTGAAAAGCTTGTACAGCACACTCAGCAGGCATATTGGACGGTAGTTCCGAAGATCCTACCGTTCACCCTTCTTGAAGAGAAGGACGGTTCTTGACGTTCTCCACTGGTCGGGAATCTTCTCCTTCTGAAGGTAAGATGTCAAATGCGACGCTAGAATCTCGTGTAGACGGTGTCCTCCGGCTCGCAGGCTCCGGATCTCAAAAAGCATGGGTCGCACATTTTGGTTATTTTCTAAAAGCTCATTGATTGTTTTGCAACATTTTCATAACCCTTAGAAAGAGAATGAAATGCTGTTTCGAATGCTGTCAAGGTCTCTCAGAAACCTTTGTTCTATCAAATGTGGCGCCCGTTTGAAAAAAGCGAAATTACTTCCGGAATGACCTAATATTTCAGGTGTTTTAAGGGCAAACAATGTGCAGCCAATCTTGTGCAGGCGATTGAAAAGACAACAAAGATTGAGCGGCGAAGTTTGAAAGGCTTTGGACACTGTTGTCGAAGCTTAGGTATAAGAATAGATTTGGGCCAAAAATTTGAAAAAGGGTAGGAAGAAGAGGTAAAATTATGACCCTGTCTGCACATCATTCTTGCTGTCATTGCCTTTTGTTGGAAACACGCCATTTTTAATGGGGCACATGCCGAAATCTTACGCCGTGCATGCTCTGTGAAGTCTTGTTCGCAAACTTGTAATCATGGAAGCACACATATGTACCATTATGCAAAAGACATTTTACAATTTACTGATTAGTGACTTTGAATTTCGCTCCAGAAATCAAGCATGATCATGCAGGCCTTCAATAAGGCGCGAAAGAACAAAGTCTGACAAAATTAGCACTTGAAAGGCCACTGTGTCCCAAGTGCACTTGATAGTAACCATAATTTGTGGGAGCATTTTTCAAAGATGCTTTTGACAAAGCTGTTAAGAGCCTTTTTGGAGCCTTGTTTGTGTTGGAAACAGTCAAACAGACCCGGCACAAGGGTGGAAAATGTCAAGATGAAATCGCGTTAGTGGAAAAAACAGAGAGGTATTGTAGACAGACTTCGCATGCACCACCATCCCTCAGCTACCCAGATACGTGAGAAGCTTCTTTTGACTATCAAGCACGATTTCGCTCAGAGCGCCTCAAAAGTAATAAAGTTTCCTTGCACCGGTGGTCAACAACAACTTGTTCAGGGCACACAACTATATCATTTGGTTTGCAAATGCACAAATGCTAGGAGGAGCAGACTGCAAAATCTTTGGAAAATTTTATGATTGGAAGGTGCGGCAAGCCTTTTTGAAAAATCCCACTGGGAAATGTTTGCAAATAGCAGCGCTAATTCTACGTAGCTATGTATAGGCGCAGTAGGGCAAGTGAATAAAGTATGAAGTTATAGGCATCTCAGCTGGAGTGTCGGGAACTTGGGTTCGCAAGCGCGGCCGCTTCCCCTGAACCCTACGAGTAGCGTTCGCGGTGTTCGTTCTCCAGTAATTCTCCCATGCCTTAGCGTGGAAAAAGGCCCAAAATCGACTTTAAATTATCAATTAGTTGCGGGAAGATGGTCAGAAACCACGTTAGCGAACGCGGTGCAAGTCTAAGCGAGGCCGCAGCGCGGGATCCGAGGTGCACCCGATACTGCAACTGGGATCGCCTGTATATTGGATATCTAAATAAAGAGTGTGTACAACTTCTAGATTGAGGCGCGCTGTGCGCCAAGACGTTCAACTCAATAACTTCTCCAAAATTCTTACATCGATCTGTTCTACACTAAATGTTACTAATTAGTAACAGTTTGGTTGCAAAACTTTTCTTCTTCTTTTCAGGACCTAAGGTTTGTGAAGGTTCACCTTTCAGAGGGAAAGCGCGCTCCACCTGGACGACCGCGCGATTGGCATTGGCAATAAGGGGTGTTTTATGCCACACCTGGGGGGGGGGGAGGGGGAGGGATCGTTATTGAGATGATACTAGATGATGCTGATGTTAACGAAAACAAGATACTGTTAACAGTGTCAGATAGGCATTATGCGAAATATTAGTACACTGTATCTTTTGACCTACCCAATATGTACAAGCATAATAATAGAGCTTTAAAAGCATAAAAGCGCCATTTTCGTAATTGCATGTCAAATGACCCCTGTGGACCAAGTTTCAGCGAAGTCTTTTTCAAATATTGAGTTACCCATGTGAGATGGTCATGTTCGAACACGTTAACTTTGTTTCAAAGATGTGATAAACACTTCTTTTTGCCCTTATCACAAAGAACTACTACTACCTCTCTGCTCACTTTAGGAATCCCACTTCATAAAACCTCCAAACTATGGGATAGAGAGCAAGACAAAATCTCGTTGACTTTTTTCGCTTTCAATATCTCAGACTGGAGAAGATCAATCAGGCTCAAATCACTTTTGTAAAAGCTAGGAGGTTTAGTCTATCGAAAATATATGAACATATTTATTCTCACCGCCTTCCCTCGCCAATCACATAGTAGCGCAGATTTAGCATGCTACCGCAACCCAAAATTTGCGCAGTATTTTCCATTTGCATAGGTAAGGAAAACTAGACATAAAGGACACAGATACTTGAAAGCTTGAAAGGTAAGTTAATGGGGTGTAGCACAAGCCCTACAAAGGTGAGGCAGCCACAGCTTCTCTGAGGTTCTGCCACACCCCATTAACCTACCTTCAAAAAGAATTTTAGCAAACAAATCATATACAGTTCGAAAGTTTCTCAGTTTTTCAGTTCCTCGCAGTTTTTCTTCAAGTGAATAGAGCTGAATTCGACTTTTTTCTTTTGCGCTATAGTTGCTGGAATCACAAACACTGTAAGCTAAAATTCGAACGAATGAGATTTTGGCTGGCTCTTAATTGCATAGCATAATGGCTATTTGGAGCAGGATTCATGATATTGCCAAATAGGGAGTAATGTTTTGTATTGAGTACAAAAAAGGTAGCTAATCTTCTGAGATATAGTTAACATGTTATAAAATGGTCACTACTTCACTCCGTTGGCCCAATATCTGAAAAAATCGGAATTTGCTGAAGTTTGGCCCACAGAGTTTACTTAACATGATGATTACGAATATCTTCTTACCAACTACGCTTGGTGGAGCATTCATGTCATGCCTACGGTAGGCAAACATTAATTAAGGGGGGAGGGGTATTGAGACAGAACTTAGGGGAGGGTCTCTTTGGCGGTTATGTGCCACAACTCTTGCTCGACCCTGGCGATTGGCTCGCTTAGTGGGGGAAACGTGAAATTTGAGAGTGGCAAGGGCTGACACACAAACAAGTTTCAAGAGAAAGAAAAAAAAATCAAACAACATTTGTGCTCGATATGTACAGACAGGCAGCCTTCGAGAGCTCACAACATGATTGAGGTCAGAATGGATTATGCAGCCCACATCTTTGTTTAAACTTCGACGACCGCATCACACCCGCGGTGTGTCAAGCAATGGCTCCGCATGGGAATCCTTGACACCCTCGGTGGGTCGCTTGAGATTTGCTAAAATAGACTATCTCGGATTATGCTCACTCCACTGGTTCTCCTTTGAGCTGGGTCTTTCAAAGCTACTATGGTTATATTGCAAATGGCAGTATGAGTGGTTTAATCCTAATGTTGATTGTTCATTGAAAGGCCTTGGTCGCACAAGGTAGACAACTGAAAATCTGCAAAATTTAGGGCCTCATTGTGATGATTGACAGATTACATTAACTCCTGCCAATGGAAAAGCTTTGGGAGGTACAAGTTTCCGATGAAAAGAAACTTGCCTGCAGATCGATGCGTTGTATACGAGACAAAATGGTTTTTTGCCAAAATACAATCCGAACATTTTAAATTCTTAGATGAGCAATAGATAGAATATAACAAATAACAGTTTCTTATAGATATGCAGGCTTAACGAGTATTCTTCTTGTCCGTTCTTCGAAGAAGAAGACAATCGTCTCCGCCACGGTGAGCAGAGTCGCTCCTACATAAAGGCCAATTGTTCCTCCGATCTCAGCTGCAACAACAGCATGATTATGCTATCAATAGAGTAAGTAATGAAAAAAAATCATTAAAATAAATAATGAAGAAAAAACCTAGTAAGAGGAAGACATTGTAAGACCGTTCCTGTATGATGCGCTCCTGTTTGAAATGAGCAAAGTAAATTTTGACCTGCAGTAGATTTACTCTAAAACTTTTCACTTCAGTTGAAAAGAAAAATCTGCTGGCGTAAGACTTACTGATCGTACTGTGGAGTAGCCGAATATGATTGTGCAATCTCTACTTGTCGCTGAATGCGGCTGAGCCATTCGCCACGCACAAATTTACTTTTCTGTAGATTCAAGACAATCATCGGTAAGGCAGCTATGCTGACATACCTTCAAGAGTGGAATATTCTCAGAGATATTGCGGAGACAAGTCACTGTCTCTTCTATAGCTGTAAGCCCCTGGTGCTTTTCGATAACAACTCCAAATCTGCGTAGAACATTTCTTCTCGCTTGTAGTCCTTTTTCATAAAATAGCTTAAGTTCGTCAATCTAGAATCGAATCACGATGATGTTAATAACTGTGACAATCATTAGTGAGGTCTCAGATATAAACTAGTGTGTTGCCAACAATTTGACTATTTATTAGCTGTATTCACTCAAAATTTCATTCGACTCTATTGAGGCAGAAGCGGAGGAGTGGCAGCTAATACGGGAGGCAGGCTTGATACAAGACAGTTTGAATAGCAACATTTCAACGATTTTAGATTGATTTGAATAGTTCAACATCACTGTCCAATGCCTGCTCCACCTCTACCGCAATGTGGTAGTCCATATTACACCTAAACATGTTTTTTCCTACTATTGCAGCGGGCAAACCACAGATGTGAGAAAAACAAGATGAAATTCTGTGATCTAGTGCGATAGCTGATGATTATATTAAAACTCAATTCAATGCACTGAGGTAAACAAGAGGTTTTTTCTCTAAGCCTTATTGTCTCACTTCGAGAAAACTTCCAATTAGACATTACTGACTTGTATAACATAACATATCAAACTGATTTCATTGCCCATTGAGGTTTTACATGGCTGCATGGCAATGATAAGCTAACTCAAACAAATAGCGAAAATCAACTGACGTAGTATAGTATGTCTCTAAGCATCAACTTCCGTAGCTTCATGAGTTCATGAATTTCATAAGTATCGGCTCCTCCTTCTCTGCAAGCTATCGTATTGATTTGATAATGTTTACGTTGGAATGAACAACCTGTAAAGACTTTCAAATTCTTTGAGATCAACTTCACAGTCGTGATAGTCTAGCACGTGAACTCGATTCACGAACATGAAACTCCTAAGAGAAGCAGTGATCTTTCCCATATTTATTATATAGTCAGCAACGACATTAGTAGATAGATCAGCAAGAGTATATACTCTCCTAGTATCGAGAAGCACATCGTAATATTCTTTGAACACCTAAATCATAACGATTAGAATGTCTTATCTTTTCAGTCGAAAGCAAGACTGTTTGAACCCTTCATTATCGACATGAGTCTGCACAGTAAATCATTAACACATTCACGACAATACGATCCACCGTTGGGCGGTACGGCAGCCGCTATACTCCTCGAGGAGCATACGCGACCATCGATACGCATCAAATACGTGTAAAACCGGCGATTTTTGTAGCCGATATTGGCGATCGCCAATCGCTACGATTAGCGGTCGTTAATCGCCAATGCTGGCGATTGCCAGTCAATATCAAAGTTTTTCACCTTCCTTTTTTTTGAATTTTCTTATTTTTTTCTGGTTTTTTGCTTCGTTTCTGTCCTTTTAGTACGTTGATTGTTATTGTAACTGTAATTCGGATCATTGGGAAGTTTTGAAGACTCTAAAAAGAAAATGTTATGTAGAAAATGTATTCTTGGGCAATGTCGGGGTATGCAAATTTTGGTGGTGCACCACGCTTTTCTAATGATGAATTATAGAAATAGAACCGAACATTTTTCGATTTGTATTCGAATGATTTGAACTAGAAAAGTCGATATTCAGGAAAGTGCATTTACTTGATTATTTAGAATTTTTATTTTTAATTTAATTTAATTCATATTCAATATTAGGTTGAACCGAAAGTTATGCCGTACCATATTCAAAAAACCGTAACTTCCTTTTATCACGAAAGTTTTGCATGGAAAAAATACCACTAGAAAGAGTAGCTTATGTACTATTTGAAGACACCTGCCTGCTCTCTTCCAAGCTTTGATCGCAGAGATAAAAATGGAAAAGGAAATTACCTCACGTTCAGAATTTTGGGGCAAGCCCGTTAAAAAATCCAAAACTGCGCCATAAATTCCAAAACAGCCAGTATCCTAGATTATTTGACCCCTTTTTTCTACAGAAGCAAAATTTGCCCTGTTCGAGCTGTTCTTTAAAAAGTTAAGATTTTGGAGAGAAAATGGTGGAAAATCAATTTTCTTAAGAAACAACCGATTTTCTGGCATTTTTTCTCAATAATCATAACAATCAGCGCGAATTTTGCTCAGCTAGAAAGAAAAGTTCAAAAAACCTAGGATACTGACTTTTTTGCATTTTGTTGCATATTTTTGGAATTTTCAACGGTCTTTCCTCAAGATTCCGAAATTAAACTGATTTCCTTTTCACAATTCTATCTGTGCACTCAGAGCAGAAGGCAAGGTGATATTAAAAAGCACATGAGTTGCTCTTTCTAGTAGTACCTTTGTAATGGAAAACTATAATGACAGGAAGAAGTTAAGATTTTTTGAGAATGGTGCGACAGATTTCGGCTCAACCTAATATTTTTATTTTCTAAAAATTTCAAATATTTATTTTTTAGAAATTCGAAATTCGTTCGAATTTTACAATCCGACGTCGATGTTATCTACCAGCAATAGGACATCGAGTACTGCCAATAGTAGCGATTGGCGATTGCTAGTTTTCGGCGACCACACGTTGGATGCTTATTGACTGAACGTGTGATAACTGGTTGGCGATCGATACGCATAAAGGACGCAGTCGCTAATATTGGCGATTGCCAATATCGGCGACAAAAATCGCCGGTTTTACACGTATTTAATGCGTATCGATGGCCGCCATGCTGTACTCCTCGAGGAGTATAGCGGCTGCCTACGTGTCCTGTCCGTGTCCTGTTTCGGACAATACGAACCACAGATGGGTCGTATGCTTTCTAAAGTTTTTGATTTTCTTAGTTCACGATGAAACACTTTAAGCAAATTGAGTAAACTTCTGTATACAGCTAAACACTTCCTATAAGACTCCAGCCCACAGGACCCACCAGTGAGGATAATATCATGCAAACTCAGTATTGCGGAATATGCTCTGGCCCGAAATGGCAATCACCAAAATCGGCCCTGTTGTGAATGTGTTCAAAGCGCACACTCGTGCCTGCATGTGGTTCAACTCGATCGGGATACCAGGGCTCCGAAGAAGGTAGTAGCACCGAAAGTTAACCTTACTGACCTTGGAATTTTATCAAAAAAGAGAAAATATTTCTTATAGCATTGTTGGCCTTCTACAATGATACAGAAATACTATTCTGTTTAGTGAACAAAACTTGTGTACATAAAGTCTAGAGCCAAATCAAGCCACTGAAGGTACCTGGCGGTAATGTTATGGAGGCCCAATTATGACCACTCTGCTATAATACTGATCATATGTGTGGCTTCCACATGTTTGCAGGGACTCGAACGTTCCAGAGTTCTACAAACAAGTATAGCTTGTTTGATATCATGCTGAAATTTCCGCACATATCCGCACCGCTTCATTGTCTTTATGAGCTAACAGTGGCTACGTACGGCTCTCATATTTTGGGGCAGAAGCACGAAGAGACGGTAAAAAAGTGATTCTTCGAATGCAGACAGCGAGAACGAAAAACTGTGTTTTCAAAGCTTTACGTTATAAAAAAGTTTTTTGTGGAAATCTTCACCAGATTTTAGTAGAAATTCTCACATAACCTCATTTTAGGCTACGAAATCAAGTTTCAGAAGTTTGCGAAAACTGTTAAACCCAATTAAAACGAGAAACAGCGCTGAGTTTTGCGAGAGACGCATACGAAAAAGCCGGTCTATCTCAATAATGAGTGATTTTCACGCTTGCGACGTTGTCGCTTTTCTTAGTCGTGTCATGACGATCAGAATGATACACAATGCTGCAAGGTTTCAATGAGACCCGCAGAGATCTACGCAAAGCCAAATGCCCCATCAGCTCTGCTCTTTTTCCTCCGACCGCCTGCGTCTCCGTACGTTGCTTGCTACCTCGCTAGCTCAAACGCGGGCACGGGGCATCTGGCTCTGGTACTTTTTTGCTGTTTTTAATCCCAATTCTAGTAATCTATAATCATTTTGAAGCTTTTGATCTCAACTTTCACGCTAACATCGCAACCCCATTTTCTGATTTGAACGAGAAATCTGGCAGAAACCGTGTTTCAATCTCTTTTTTTTCAATCACTTTAGTTCTTTTCAAGGGTTTTTTCGTGCATTCGATAAATCTCGCTCGTTTTTGATTTTCGCAGCGATTTTTTTCCAACTTGGGCGATTACTGCCTGAAATAAGGAGCTCAACAATCCAAACATATCGCAGGAAACAGGAACGACAATATGGGGGAAAAACTCAAAGGAGGCATCAAAAACTAAGTTGGCTTTGACGTGCGTTTCAACTTTGAATAAACAAACTTTGCATTTTCAGAACGAACCAAGTCTTATTATCTGACTTCTGCAGCGTTTTTATCTGGTTTCTAAGGTTTTCTTTTGCTTTTTCTAACCATTTTGCGTCTTTTTTCCTCTCTGATTTACTAAAACAACCCTCAATTTTTATGAGGGGGGGGGGGGCAGATATTCTCTGTCCCTAGATTACCGAGAAGCGACGATAACTTTTTTCCGACATTTGAGATATTCTTAAACTATTAACGTTACGCTGGAGAATTGCGTCTTTGTATGAAGTACCAACGAAAGCGATAAGTAGAGGTTAAATTATAAAAAGGAAAAGCTTTCACTTTTTTGCTATTTGGACGAATCACAAGCATAAAGTATGACCACATGAGCACCTACTATAATGACCCAAATGTGTTGTACATAAAGCAAAAGTTATATACATTATCCATGTAAGGGAGATGTCTGCATGTGTAAATGTGTTTGTATTATAGTTCTACAAGTTAGTGCATAAGTAAGTGATAGTCACTTTACAAACCTTTTGAGTGACTCTCCCATCCTGTGAAGCAAAACACACTCAAGATGTTTGCTTGATTTTAGTAACCTAATAGACTTTGAGATTGAGATTATGATATTGCAAGCTATTCACAATTTGCATCCTTACTCCTCAGACATTCGATGTTGACTCGCGCCGGAGACGCGCCCCTTTTTGAGGGATTCGCGAAAAAGCGCGTAGACATGCGCTAGACAATTTTTTGCCAGATTTTCGGGATTCTCACGAAAGGATGTCGGGAGATGAAAACATTGAGAAACTAATTCGAGCAGGTTGAACAACGCGAGTTTAATAACAACAACACCTTTTACTAGACTCATTATTTCTTCTTGAACAAGAGGTCGGCCATACATCTTCTTTACGGCTTGGGATAAATAATGCGTTCTTTTTCGTATCTGACTCAGTGAGTCTAATTGATATCATCAAAGAACGTGTAGTGCCAGCTGAGTTGCCTTGACGCCATACCCTGGTCGCAGTGGACAACTGCTTAATCGGTAGGTTCGTATCTTTCGTTTTTGATCATTGATTGAACATTATTGCTTTAGGAGTACTTTTTTGCATGCGTCTTTGGAGAAGCGCGAGGCCGAGGGTCATCCCTCTCGTGACCCATTGACCCCAAGTGTATTCGCATCCAGAAGAGGTACGCATTTTCTGTACACGTTAGCTTTTGACCAACGGTATATGAAAGTACGTATTATGGTTTTGATGCCTAGTACAGTGCTGGCCATAGCTATAAAGCCACCCTAAAAATCACTGTAATTTGCTCTCTCTTGCTCATAATTGTCTGAAAAACCACTATTTTGTGCGCAAACTAACGTCACACCACTGACCAGAACAGCTCCCAATTTTATTGATTTTGGCCGGAGAAAAATTAAAAAATTTGAAAAAAAGGGTTCCAAAGGCTGGCCACAGCTATAGAATCCGTACTACGTTTTGTGAACCTCAAATTTTTTGTACATATACAACATCAAAATATGAAACATTTGTTACACTTGGAAGGAGTCGCCTTTCAAAAAGAAGATTCGTACTGCACTTTCTGCTCTAAAATGCATAATAAGTCACATTATTTGCAAAAAAACTGCTTTTTCATTGAATTCTGAAGCACTTGTTTGACTCGGATGAAGGTCCTAGGATTTGTTTGGCCTTTGCAATGAACGATGTGAAAAGTGCTGAACTGAAACTGCGTAGTCGCCAATCTTGATAAACGAGCCCTCATCTTACCGAAAGCACGCTTCTGAGACGCAAAAGTCGATTTCTGACGCGCGAAAACTTTTGGTTGGAAGTTGACACCTTGTCTGCATGGCGACGTACTCAGGCAGATGCTGTCAGTTTTTTTGCAAAGACGCATTTGTCGCACTAAAGTTAGAACGCTTTGTCTGCAGTTCGGTTGTGCGCAGTGTATCTCACAAGACTTCAGATTTCACTGCTTTGAACTCCTCATCAAGTCAAATCTTACTAAACTGTCAGGAATAGTGGGATTTTGAAGTTTTGAGCGGTTTTCCGCTCGATCGAGGTGGTTAGAGTGAGTCATGATCAGACGGAGTGCACCACTCATTTTAGGAAAAAAGGCGTCCAAAGCGGAACCAGAATCCTTGGATTTGCGATGACGTACAAGCTATGCGCACGAGTCTATCGTTGTACAGGCGACGTGCTGAGCACGCGACAGAGCTTTTCGGGCATTAGAACTCAATTTCTGCGGTATAAAACTCGTCTACCTGGAGGTGAGGTTGGGGTTCGTTTATCAATATCAGGGACTAAGCAATGTTGACTCAAGCGCTTTTCGCTGTATTCATTGCAAAGGCTCGGCAAAGCATAGGGCCTTCATCCGAGTCAAACAAGTGCTTCAAAATTCAGTGAAAAAGCAGTTTTTTGCAAATGATGTGACTTATTATGCATTTTAGAGCAAAAAATGCAGTACGAATCTTCTTTTTGAAAGGCGACTCTTTCCAAGTGTAACAAATGTTTCATATTTTGATATTGTATATGTACAAAAAATTTGAGGTTCACAAAACGCAGTAATGATTGAAAATGAGAGTTGGCTTTATAACTGTGACCAGCCTTCGGAACCCGTTTTTCAAATTTCTCAGTTTTTCTCCCTCCAAAATCCATGAAATCGGGAGCCGTTCTGGTCAATGGTATGACGTTAGTTTGCGCACAAAATAGTGGTTTTTCAGACAATTGTGAACAAGAGAGAGCAAATTACGGTGATTTTTAAGGTGGCTTTATAGCTATGGCCAGCACTGTAGTACAATCAGCACCGGTGTAAATGCTCTGGGTGTATGGGCATGGGCTCAGGCATATGTGAGATTCAAGAGGCTTGCATGAGTGTTGGATGTTGCTGGATGTTGTTGCTTATGCGGTCACAAGTAGCGATTACCAAACGATAACAGTTTTTTACAAACATAACAAGACAAAACCATAACACATAACAAGCTCTGCAAAACTACAAGATACTCTTCAATATACTGCGCAGTCATTAACAAGTTGTAGACTACTTAACATATCGAAATTATAGCGCTTGCGGCGCTAGAGGGCGAACTAAAGATGAGGAGATTCTACAGGAAAACTAGGAGAGAATTAAGCGGTATGTTTAACCAATCTTAGGTCCTCTTATACCCGTAATGCGCGTTCAGAGAAGCATGTCTCCTGCAATATGCAAAGCGCCATGCTTCGCAAAAGGAAAAAGTGCTCTCTGAGAATGTCTACACCTGTGCTGCGAAAGGTAAGATAACATGCACTTCTTTCTCTCCACTGTCAACTCTCGTATATTTTTTTCAGAAAAAGCGTGTGGTTCAGACGACGGCAAGCAGTTCCTCCCCTATCAAGGAAATAGAAAAGACCTGCCCCAATGAGATTTACTCCATCTGCAGCCACTATTTCTCCAATTCGCGACTGTCATTGCTCAAGCGGCTACACAGTACACATGAGTCTCATCATGTAAAGATTCCCATATTGTAAAGCTTTAAGACAGTCAGTAGCATAGTAGTTTGGCTCCTTTGAAGTCCTTTTTTGTCTTTTTCTTTGTTACGTGATTTTAAAAGTAATAAATTTGTTAGTTTTGGCTGCGTATATTTCTATGTATATATGTATATATACATAATATATGTAGTATATATATATAATGTAAAGCAAGTAGGGATATAGCAAAATGATTACTGCGAGATAACGCGCTCCAGCTGCGTCCGGTCATCAGGATGTCTCGCGCTCGAGCTACCGCGTATTTTCTGAAAGAGGTGGGTCGCGCCAAAGCGTTGTCTCGCGCAGCATTGTCCCGACACATAATGCTGTCTCGGGATTTTGTCGCGAAGCCGATTACTTGTCTCGCGCCGTCATTCCACGCTTTCACAAAACTTTGGGCTGCGCGAGACAACATCGAATGTCTGAGTAATCATGAAAAAGAAAGGTCGCTCGAACATGATATCTGCAAATAAAGGAATTACCCTGCGGCAGTCCTCGACAATCTCGCTTGCTCTTTCGGAGTTGTCACTGATTTTTTTCATACAGGTCCGGAGATCGCGGACGAATGGGCTGACTGAAATAAGGTTTTGTATATTCACAAGCATTCAAAGTTCTCTTTCTACAATGATTGATGAATCATAGGTGAACCTTCCAAAAGGAACTTCCCCTCAAACTCACCGATAATAGAGGCCCACAAGAGAGGGATACAAAAGAATGGTGTACTCAGGTGCAACAACTTGGCTTTGAAGGTAGAGGATTTACTGACGAAATTGCGAGAGATCAAAACTTCTCTCCCATTAGGCAAACCTCGCCCTTTAGAGAAATTTTTTTGGCGGATTTATACCGTCTTGTTTACGGGTTTCCTTTGCCAAATGAGACATTCCACGATCACTAAAGGTCGCTATATGAGAACGTTGTCAAAAACCCCGGTTCTCAAAAAAATCCTTTGTAAACTCAGAGGATATGATTAGTGCTCTTGAAACAAGGAACAACTATTGCTGTATTTTAAACAAAAAATTACTGGGAAGGTCAATTTTTGCAAACACAATCAGGGACTTTATTATCAGAATTTTTTTCAGCCCCCCACAATGGTCGGCCGCCTCATCGTGGCGTGGGGGTGACACTGGGTGTCGAACTGCGATGCACAGCCGAGTGTATACTCTGGCAGGGCCTCCCAAGCTGTGAAGGAGTTCGACGTTTCCGGTTTCGGCCGGATGCCTAGCTAAGAGCCGGCCAGGCCAGATCCGCCGCCGTCTGGTTTTCAGGTCGCTAGGCGGTTCCCCCCGCTCCAAGCCCGGGGTCAGCGATCGCCCCGTGGAAATCAAGAGTTGGCCTAGTAAGTCTGCTCTTGTAGGGGAAAAATTTCATTACTCTACCAGTTAGAAGAATAGAAAGAAACCCTGTACATCGGATCCCGCCTACGGCGCCGGGTGGTAGCAAGACTGATGTCAGGGTCCTCAGGGCGCCTTTTGGATTGGACAAAAACGACACGTCTGCCCGGACGACACGCCACGGAGACTGCCTCATGCTCTGCACCTACAACGCCAGGACAGTCTCCACAAACGCCGACCTCCACGCTCTTCTCGACGCTGCAGAGCACATCAAGTACCACATCATCGCTCTGCAGGAAACGAAGTCCAGGAAGAAGGACGTGCGACAGATGAATGATGGAACACTCATCATTCGTGGTGAGAAGGTTCCATCACGAAACGTGGGAGGTGTTGGCTTTGTCGTCCACCCATCTATCGTCCATCTTGTCGATTCGCACGAGATCCTATCACCCCGACTAGCCATCCTACGACTACGCCCTCCACGTCAGAAGACCATCAGCATCATCAACTGCTACTCTCCAACATCAGCAGCTGACGACTCAGAACTAGATGCTTTCTACGAAGACGTGGAGGAGGTCGTCCGCAACGAAAAGTCCTTCTACAAGTATGTTGTGGGCGACTTCAATGCGAAAATCGGGATGCCACTAGATAAGGAATATAGGATCGGGAAGTTTGGATATGGGCTCCGGAACGAAAACGGCAACCGTCTTGTTGGGCTTCTCTCCGCCGCACGACTTTTCCATGGAAATTCCATCTTCATGAAGAAAGAACATCGCCGGTGGACATGGGAATCGCCCAACGGAACGACTCACGCGGAGATCGACCACATTCTCGCCAACCGAAGGTGGAGCTTGCTCGATGTCTCAGTAGTTCCATCCTTCTGCAGTGGCTCCGATCACCGCCTCCTTCGAGCGAAGATACGACTCAGCCGAAGGCTGGAAAAGAAAGTCTGTCACAGTGCCGCGAGAAGGAAGGAAGTTGTTTACGACGGTAACAGGCTGGAGGAGCTAATATCAAGATGTGACTGGCCCATCGAGGAGGACCCAACGTACGACTACGACCGGCTTCTGAAAGGATTGCGAGCCTGCGGAGAATGTGCCTCTGTGACTTCTGAGAATAACTTGGAACGTATCTCGAAGACCACCAAGGAATTGCTCGAAAGAAGAAGATTTCTGAGGCAGGATCCGAATGCAACCCATCTCGAGCGACTGATAGCCAACGCCAGTTGCAGAACAGCTTTGCAGGAGGATCTCAGGAAGTACAGGCAAGCCAAGATACTGGAAGCAGCCGAAGAAAGACGAAGTCTCAAGAAATGCCGAAGGGACCTCTGTGAATATCACGTACCGCTGGCTGCACTATTGAGCGAAGACGGGACTCCGACTTCTTCCCGATACAAGATGGAATCTATCGCGAAGAACTTCTATACCAACCTCTTCCGCTCATCAACACCCGTGCCGATGCCCGTTGTTCCCACTGGAGAAGTACCACCACGAATTCTACCTGCTGAAGTGCGCACGGCGATTCAGACCATGAAGACATCCACGGCTCCAGGACCAGACCATCTTTCCGTCGAATTTCTGCGAGCCGGAGGACAACGTCTACACGAGATTCTCGCGTCGCACCTGACATCTTACCTTCAGAAGGAGAGGATTCCCGACCAGTGGAGAACGTCAAGAACCGTCCTTCTTTTTAAGAAGGGTGAACGGGAAGATCTTCGAAATTACCGTCCAATATGCCTGCTGAGTGTGCTGTATAAGCTCTTCACGAAGATTATCCTCGCACGCATATCTAGGACACTGGATGAAGCCCAACCTCAAGAACAAGCTGGATTCCGCAAAGGATTCAGCTGCATGGACCACATCCAGACGGTTTCGAGGGTCATAGAAGTCTGCCGGGAGTACCGACTGCCTCTCGTCCTAACCTTCGTCGACTACGAGAAAGCCTTTGACAGCGTTAAAACCAACGCCATCCTGTCTGCGCTAGTCGATCAAGGAGTGGAACCAGCTTACGTGAGGACACTAGCCGACTGCTACAAGGACTGTACAACAACGATGCAGCTATTCCATCGCCCCCTAACCATTCCAATTGGGAAGGGGGTTCGACAAGGCGACACTATTTCGCCGAAGCTGTTCACCGCGGCCTTGCAGTGGGTGATGAAGTCACTAGACTGGGAAGAGAGAGGCATACGAGTTGATGGGAGATTCCTATCCAACGTTCGTTTTGCGGATGACATCGTCCTTTTCTCGAGCAGTATCACTGAAGCAGAGGCGATGCTGAAGGAACTAAACGAAGTAGGGAAGAAGATCGGACTGCGAATAAATCGGAAGAAGACTCAGTTCATGAAGAACGCCCTTTGCGAAGATGCAGAAATGGAATTGGAAGGCACCCCTATCATGGAGACGTCTTCTTACGTGTATCTCGGACGTTCGATGAACATGGAGAACGACTTGAGGGAAGAACTTAACAGGAGAAGAAGAGCAGCCTGGGCCGCCTTCGGGCCTCTGAAGGAAGCCACCGACCAACTGACGGACCCGGAGCTTCGTGCCCATCTGTTCGACTCAACCGTTCTCCCAGCGCTCTGCTACGCAGCTGAGACTTGGGCCGACACCGTAGCCACGTCGAAAGCTTTAAGGACCACCCACAGAGCGCTCGAGCGCAGTCTTCTGAAGATGACCCGACACAAGCAACATCTAGTCGGACTTCGCAGCACGGATATGAGAAGAATGTCCCGTCTTCGTGACCCAGCGGAATACGTTGCGAAAGCGAAACACCGATGGGCCGGTCACATAATGAGAAGAACGGACGATAGATGGACACTAAGAACATCTGAGTGGATTCCTCGCGAAGCCAAACGTCCTCGAGGAAGACCACCGACGAGATGGGCAGACGTGTTCGTGGAACGGATGGACCAGCTGAGAAATCAGCTGGATACGATTCTTGCCCCTGGAACTCGTGGACGCAGCCACCGACGACGACCAAGAAGATCGTGGATGTCCGAAGCGAGGGACAGGGATCAATGGCGACTTCTGTACTGGGGCCCGCACGTCACGTGAGGACGGGCCATCTAAGTATCTAAGTAAGTAATTTTTTTCAGCTGTCAAAAAAAATTTGTGCGATACGATCCTGTTTTCAATCACGCAAATCCTTTTAACACGTTGACGACGAGCCATTTTTTTTTGCGGTCTGTCCCTGTGGACAAGACGTTTCCATGCATCCCTACGCGTGGCCCATGTGTGTATGCATGCATCCATGCACAGAGTACAAAATGTGCAAGCCCCGCCCCCTCTGGCAAGCTCCGCCCACTCGACCAAAAATGTCGGAAATTGCCCAAATTTCAAGAATTTATGCGATTTCCGCCACTTTTGAAAAGTGGGCGGAGCTTGCCTGACGGTGGGCGGGGCCTGGCTAGAAGTTGCTTGAAGTCTTTGCGTTCATCTACAGCCTCATCCATGCTTTTTGTGGACAAAAAGGATCCTTGTGAGAGGCATAAAAGTGGGCGGAGTTTGCCAAAAGGGGCGGGGCTAATACATGAAGTACATCTGAGCCTATGTTGATTTTATAAACAAAAACTGAGAGGATTGGACAGATAGTATTGAATTTAAGGCCGCCGCGCACCATTGCGCGGCGTCGTCCACAGGGACAGACTGCCTGCCGCGCACCATTGCGCGGCACTGTCGTCAACTTGTTAAGTTGAGAGAAGGGTTGAGTAAGAGGTCAGGAACAAGCCATTCACTATCCCCCCCTCTCCTTCCTCCCCCTTTTGCACACCTATCCGAACGAGCTCTCTTTTTCCTCTTACAACTCCACAATCTCTTAGTGCGCGCTCAGAGTGAAACATGTTGTACGAGTTCCTGATTTTTTGTGATTTGTGAACCTTCTTTAGAAGAAGAGGGTTTAGAACAAATTAATATTGTGACAAAAACAAGGTTGAAGCCTGCTACTCACACAAAAACGGAGCGGTTCTCGGATCTTCGAAGATAAGTTAAGGCCGGGCACAAGGCTATAAAAGCTCATGCAGACTGACCTTTGGAAAGGTAACGCCTAAACTCATTGACTTTATCTTCAAGGATGTTTTCATCCAAGTCTTGCGTCGTTTTAGCACATGCTTTTAGATTATCAGATTAGCTGTATGAGGTTATTTGGGCTATGATTATGATAGTCCTAAACCAAAGCACTCAATGTGAAAAACGCAATAGTGGCAAGTAGTGGTTTCCAGAACTCATAGATTTTTGACTGTGTGTTACGAAACACCCCTTTATACGGAAGAACTTTCTGCTAGCCTACGGTGTGTGCAGTAATCGAGATTTTTGGAATTGACAGAAACATCATAGTGAGTTGACAGGAATGCTGTCCTATTTGATCTTCGCAATAATTAGTATATTTTGGTGACATTTATTGATCTAGCGCTTTTGTGCTCAACCTTGTCCAAGTGTTGTATGTCTCATTCGAGAACTTCGCTCCTTGCCCTTCTCCCTCCTTTCTCCAACACGACCCCAGGTCGGCCACGCCTGACCTGACCAGCAATTAAATAAACAGGTGCGCACGTTGTAACAAACGATATTCGATGCATTTCTGGGTTAGATTCTGCGACATTATGATCTTCGTCAACGTGCTTTTGGGTTACAAGGTGTTGTAGCCTAAAAGCACGTTGACGCAGATCATAATATCGACAGCTTCAAATTTCATTTCTCATAAGTGTACCAAGGCATTGTTGGAAAAGTGGACTACCAAAAATGATATGCTACGCGGTACGATGGAAGTAATCTAAAAAAAACAACAGGAAAATTCATAGCCCAAAGAGCGACATAAGAGTTAAGTTCCACTCATTTTGCTGAAAAGCATTCAACTTTTTTGCGAGGCAGTCAAATTTCAGAAATTAAAAGGTCGAACTAGCTCAATGTTTGTGTGTTTGTGTGTTTGTTTTTTGTTTTTTTTGTTTGTTTTTTCGTTTGTTCAATGTTCAAGCATTTCACTCGTGCAGGATCTACAAGGTTATGCAGAATCAATTCATGTTACTCATCTTTCATGACAGAGTGAAGAAAAAGTGCAACAAATATGCCAACGATAAAGCAGAGCATGCTCCATGCGACCGTGTTGAAACATTCGCACATGAATTATTCCGCGCGAAGTTTGAGGTCAAATTTGGAAGGATTTTGAGTCCCTGTAAAAGAGTTTCAAGAAAGTGGTACGGACCTTTAGTTGTTTACTCATATAATTTCCACACGTAGCATTCACGTTACAGCTGCTGTATGATACGAGAAATAAAAATATGTTAGAAGTGAAAAATCACCAAAAATCGTTTTTTGCGTAAACTTTTTCTCGAGAACTGGCACAGGCTAAAAACTTAATAGAATCTTTCAAAGGTTTGTAGTATAGAATTTTTCATAAGCAAAGCGTTACTTTGGCAAGAGCATGTCAATCTTTACTCCGATTTCTTGCCATGTATCTGTACCGTCATTGTACACGTGAATTTTTGAGCATAAAATATATTTTCTGAGCAAATAAAGGGTTTGTAGGATTTTTTTGCGAAAATCAAATTTGTGCATAATTGGAAAAAACTTTGGCTTCATTGAAAGAATACAGGGTTGAGGGAAAGTCTTTGAACAATTTTTGATGTCATTGTATGTTCTGATTTTCCACATATTCTTGCATACTAATTATATGTATTTGCTTCTTATACCCTTGGTTACAAGTCCTCCAAAAAATGGAATATTAGCTTTATTCCAGTCGAGTATATGCCTTCTGGATCGGAGCGAGCGTTGGTGGCGAAGATGCAAGAAGAGAGGATGGCTAATCAGCAGAGTTCTTCAAACTTTACTAAGTCTTTTCCACCTTGCGTCGTTTCCAGGATATGAACAGCACCCAGAACTGCTTTACGAGTGATAAATTGGCTACTGCGGACACTCACAAAATTCTGAAGATCGTTCGCCAGCGCCATAGTCGCAATCCTCGGAGAAGCTTGACTGAGCTGGGTTCAAAGCTGTTCATCTCTGGTAAAAAAATCTTCATCAAAGTCATTCGACATCGTGGAACAAGGCCTTGGGATGAAGCTCTTCAAGATACTTATGATTCATGCTTTTTGGGAAGAAACGAAGCTGATTCGACTGCGCGGATGCCATCGAATGCCTGAACGCCTATCCAAGGCACGCCACAAACATATAATTTTTTGACGTCGAAATTTTCACCGTGAAGCAGTTTCTGATCGCCAAAACAACAGAGTCATCACCTAAACGCCTCAGGAAGCCAATAGCAAGGATTGATTGCAGAAGGAAAACTTCATCCGGTTTTTGTGACAATTTGCGCGGCGATCGCTTCCGACAGCAAAATGCCGCTAACTTTTGAGCTCTCAGTGCTCAGGGTGGACATTGCCACGCATGTGAATAGCATCCTGAAGAAGGAATTGTCGGCCTGGACCAAATCCATTTGCTGGGAGCGACTGGGCTCACAGCAGGAAAGCGCACCTGCGCACTAAGCGAAGGTTGTTCAAGCATGGCTCCAAAGCAACGTTAAGGACTTCATTACTCTTGTGGAATGGCCTCCGTATTGGCCGGATCTGAATACCCTTGATTACCGCAAATGGTCAGTTCTTTAGGCCGAAGCCTGCGCTCACTCACGCAAGACTGTGGAGTCTCTGCGACATGCTCTTCAGGATGCGTGGGAGGAAGTCGACGTGGAGCACCTCCGTGCCACCATGGACAGCGTTCTCAAGCGATTCCGTGCTTGTATTCGCATCAAAGAAGGAATCTTCGAATTGTAAAGACAATTATGTAGCAGACGTTGAGTAAACATTATCTATTGATTTCAAGTAATCACCTTGCCTAGCTTCGTCATTACGATAAAAATACCGTGTTCAAAGACTTTCCCCCAACCCTGTATTTGTGCGGATTTTTCAAAGCCATCTTATAGAGATCATCTAAAATCATCTTGCTCCACCAAATGATATATTTCCTGCATTTTGCAAAACACTCTGCCGCATAGCATGAGAGGTCTGTATTTGTTAAATGTCAACTTAATACCAAATTCTAGCAACTTGTCGCGAGTGTCGAGGTCCATTGTCCGGAGCCCAAAGGAGTTTCCTGTCTTGTTCCCCAGGAATCCAAGTTGAAGCATAGAAAACTCAATCTAAAAAACAAAAATTTGCAAGAGTTTTGCCGCTCAAGTTATTACCATTGATTCATTGACTACAAATTTCTCCATGTTGTTTGCACTTCCATCATCTTTGAGTAGGATTCCTAATGCTGCAGCGGTAGAGTTTAACTCTTTTGCCAGTGACCTTACGAGATACCTTCAAATTCAAATAGCTGTGTTTTTTAGACGGTTTATTGGCATTAATGTCACAAACAAACTCTGAAATAAAGGGACGGTTTTCCTGCTTGGATAGCATAAGAAACTCACGTTGTTATGCGTTCCCACATAGGTTCGCGAGCTTGAAAGTGTACAAGCGCTCTTTCCAATTCTTTGGCTCCTTTTGGTGCTATACATGGTACGGTAGCTGCGTTCGGATAAACCGAGAAAATCTGCAAAAGCTCAACACATTGCTGAATTTTGTATGGATGTTTAGACAAGACAAGTCTTTTTTAACGATACAACATGCGGACATGAAGAGAATTGAAACTCATGCTTGAACAATTGTGATCATTTACCTGCTCAGCCATTTTCGCAAACTCCTGCGCTTTTTCCGCAAGAGCTTGAACTTCTACTATGACCGGGACGCGGTGGCGTGGTATAATATCCAGAGCTCGCTGAATAAGTAACTTCATTTGGCTAATGGCAACTTTTGAGCGAACGAGAGTTTCCGTCGCAATTATCTGTCTTGTCTACTCCTGTATCATCGTTCCGAAGATAATGTCGCTCTGAACGACCATCACAGCGGAACAAAAATCGAATAAGATATGAGAAGCATACGACGCATTTATTCATGCTTTTTTCAAATGGGTGTACAGGCCCCGTAGAATCCAATTGCCCACGCGTCGCTTTAAACACCAAGGCGCGGCGCGGCTGGGAACGTTTGGTCCCGAGGCGCTACAGGCTTTTTGCGAGCGACAATGAGCGCGTACCCTCTCCACACATATTTTTTTAAACTTGTGAAGGGAGCTTTCGTCAAGATATACCTTGCATTGACGAGAACAACATGAAAGCTAAAGAAAGATTTCCTGGAATATAGTGAACGCTGACAGTCGTTCGCGACGACCGCTCGCTTACGCTGGTGTTCAAGGCACGGCGCGGGCAATTAGGTTTTACGGCGCCTATACTTTCGTTGCAGTTTAGCCAACGTGGGTTCAGAATTTGGCAAAAGCGAAGACCCATGGTTGACGCATTGGCCAACTTTCGCTATTTTTCCAAATTTTGCACTGATTCCCGTAGAAGTTCAAATAAAGTTTGATCAGAACAAACTCTATAACACAAAGACTTTTTCTCTTTCCATAGCTTGCTTGCAGAAATTGAGATTATTTCTTTGACGCTATTAAAATTCATATGTGATGAAATCAGACCTCGTAGACAACCTGCAAGCAACTCGAGTATCGTTGGTCATTGGTAACGCAAAGTTCACTTTGGCTATCGAAACATTGCCTGTGGAACGGCATCTCACAAACTTAAAATATTCTATCTGTAATCCAAATGCAGCTCTCAATTCAGTAGGCGGGACCTTGAGCTCAGAATTGGCGAGGTTCAACTCGCGTGCTGCTTGGATTACGCACACCCACGTCCTCGAAATCGTACGTAAAACGATGAGACTTCAGCACATCCAGCTTCAAAACTTTTCTCATAACGGGGACTGGTCGATTTGACGATCAGGTGCTGGTCCAGTATCCATTTTCCATCAGCGTAGCACAAGTCGTCATGCAGGGAACGTCCAGGCGGATCTTTGCAATCAGATGGGAGTCCGGTTGTGGTCGACATTGCTTCTTCTTCCGGACAAGAGCGACGATTTCAGCTTCAGAGCAAGCGTATGAGTCCAAGGAGAACAGCATCTTTCTGCACAGACTGGTAGGCGTTGTAGCCCGCAGTCAAGTCCTGCAGCTTGTAAGTATCGGCCTTGGTGTCCAGCTTGCTGTAGTTGGGTACGAATTGGCGAATCGCACGGCGACTGCAATTTTATGACGTGAAGTGAGCAATTCAACAAAACGCATTTCGTTCCGTCAGCTTTGGAGTCGATTACGACCTCAATGAGTCGAGAAGCGTACGACAACGTCTTTTGAGGTTTCTTTACTAGAAGTAGACAGTTCCATCTTCGAAATAATGCCGTCTTTTCGCCGAACAGTGAAAGTTAGAACCTCCAGCGCTGACCTTGGATCAGGTGACCTTTTAGCTTGGCGTGAGCGGCGTTATCCAATTTCGCAGACAGCAGGACACAGGGTCCTTTATGATCATCGATACCAAACGATCTCCTCGTATCGTCGTCTCCCCGGTGTACGTTGGGCGGAGAATTTGCGGACATACACATTGGTGACCTGTTAAACCTTTACCGCAAAGCATGCTCCTTCGTATTCTCTAAACTGCCACATGTATATGCGGTTGTCATACGGGCAGAGTTGGTAGCGAGAGATTACAAATAACCATGCCTTGCAGTAGAGGGTTAAGAATTTCACCAACATGTTCAGGTGTCTGCAAAAGCTCCGCCCAACGTACACCGGGGAGACGACGATATCTGAAAGACCAGTTCTTGAAAGTACCACCGCCGTCCGGATTGTTGCTGAAACACAGAAGTCGTAATGAAATTGTTGGGAGAGTTCGAATAGAATCCGACTATTGCCAAATGAATCATTCCCTGTCCTGCTACACTGGCTTCCAACAGGAGTGTCTCATCCAGAAGAACTGAATTGATGTGGTCATCGAGCTCTAACAAAAAAAATGCGTCCTTTTCACCATCCTATCATTACTCGTAGACCTTTTTCTTCCTAAAACAGCTCCACAAACTTCGTTTCTGGTGCAGCTGGCACCGCTGTGAGCTTGTATTTATCCGATATCAAATGGCTTTGACTTGCTCCACTTCTTTTCCTGTCTGCAGGCTTTCGCAGTCTCTTCAGAAAATCTGCTTGCTCTTGAGAACGAGAGGTGAGTGTACCATATTGATGGTAGCTGAAGGGGTAGACTGCGATGCCATGGGCGTTGCCTCTGATGAACTAGCCGCCTTAGCCGTCCCTGCTTTACTTGCTTAGACGGTAACTCTCGCCTAATGTCCGCATTCGTCAGACTCGAATGCGCATAGCTTCCAATTGACTCCCTAGTTTTACTCGAGATGCTCTATGAGACATGTATTAACTTTTGGAATGAGGGGGTGTTTCCAGTTGGCTTGTCGCATCCCTTTTTCGGAAGAGCAGCCCGATGCTGGTTTTGCGAACCTCTAGCAAAGCAATGTTACGTAGAACACTAACCATTACACTAACTCTGCTTTGATTTTGGTTAACATATAGTGCGCATATACAGACAGCTCATGAAGAAACGATCCAAACTCAAGGTGGCCATCCGAGTTGAGTTGCATAATAAACTGCGCGTACATGACTGTAAATCCGAAACTATAGTCTACAGTCTCCAAAGAACCGTTGTGGACCTACTCGGCTTTTCGGGCGTCAAGTTCTGAAAATCATAAATTTCGCCCAAACTTCGTTTATAGATATCTGACATGCTGATTGAGAATTCACGTTCGTTTCCTACTGAAACATCATTTCCTGTGATTACGGTGGTAGGAGGTCAGAATCACAAATTTGGCTGAATTTTGTTTTACTGAAATTATTCGGCACTTGAATGAGAAAGTCATACCGATTTTGCACGGTAGCACTATTTTTCAGGGCGACGGGTGTACGGTGCATCAAGCCGAGTAGTCCATAGCGGTTTTTTTTTGATATAGTCCAGAAAATTATATCGGTCTTTGCTGAATGAATGCGTTTGGATTGTCTTACCATTTTGCAAATATGCGTTTCAACAGTCTAAACTAATCTGCGAGAGATCCAGAGTTTTTGTTTGGAATGCTTAAAGCGTTTCACCACAGAGAAATCAAACCCATGACCCCAAATTTCAGAGGCGGAAACACCCAAGGCTGCGTAGGATAGAATGTCATTGAAACATATTTCCATCGGCGTCCCGTTACTGGAATTCCAAACACTTGCTAAACCATGCCGACTATCCTTTAGCAATAGCCCCCACTGCTATTCATCGGGCCTCCCAACTCCTATATGTAGTCGTATTATTTCATTTGGACGTATCTTTTGTCGTTTGTTATGGGTACACTATTCCGTACTTTCTTTTGCGAAGTACGAGCGCTTTCTTTGTTGTTCTTTGGACGGCTAGGACGACTGGTTCCACACTAACATAGTTCATAGTTTATATGGTAGATACACCTTGAGTGTAAAGGTAAATATAAAGATAAAGGCATAACGTTGACAATGTAGCATCACAAATTAGACCGCAGTTTTTGGATTACCACCCAATAGGCGCGGTCTGGTGTGCACCTCATCTCCGATGGGCCCCATAAAGGCAGCGGCTCGGCAGAATGACAACTTTGGGATAATCGTTCTCGGTTCCCTAGAATGAGCTGAGTCCAAGAGTGTTTTGCAGCTTTAGAAGATATTAATAACCCGCTTTTCCAAACTTGAAAGTTCTATTTGGGCGACGATGTATGCCTGCCTCTAAAGCGCGATTAGCGTATGAGTACGGTGGGTACGGTGTCTCCATTGACGAGCCAATCACGCCCTAGGGGGCAGGCATAAGCGCTCAGTCCAAATAGCATTTTTCACTGGAAAAGCGGCTTACTGATATCTCTGAAGCTGCAAAGCACTCTTGGATTGGTTCATCCAGAAGAACCGAGAACGATGAATATCCCGAAATTTTCATTTTGCCGAGCCGCTGCCTTCGAGTTGGATCGTTTCCTTGTCAGACACCTTGCGCATATATGATTGTATGCCATACTAACAGAAGCATAGCCGTGAAATGACACCCTTGGTATTTCCTGTTATGGAAAAATATCAAAGCATCGAAAAAAGGAGGAAGGGACAAAATCTCTCCATTCCACTTTGTTATTCCCTAAATGCAAAAAATTCGACAAGATCATTTATATAATCCTGTGTCTGCTATGACTACTGGATGGAAGGTTTGTAAGATATTTTGAGCTCAGACTCGATTCCCGTGGTATTGAAATTACTTTCAATTGAAATTTGAAAACTCAAAATTTATGTAAATTGAAACTTAAGCGGATGTTTATCGCCTTGTGGACCTTGTTTTGCTCTATCATACTGTACCTTTCATTTTTGGTGTCTGAAGTGTCTGACAGACGACATGAGATAACACATCTTTACCTACACATATCTTCTGAAAAAAGAACGATCCCAACTTAAGGTGGCGGATTGGATTGAACCGCATATCCCTAGATGCGTCTTGATGAGCTGATTCCAAATCTACCTTTCGTAGCTGCGATACCGTTATCTGCAAAAAGTTATGAGCGGTTGAAGTGTGAACTCATTGGGGTTTTAATGCATAATGTGCTTTGAAGTCCAACTTGGGATGCATGGACTAACATGATATTGACTGTATTGATCTCAAGGAATGCTTACATTCAACAAAAACAGAAAGAAGTATAATCAACTAATTCTTGAGATACATTACTGTACATTTGCGAAATTTGGACTTTACATTGCTCATAGCTTTTACCAAAGAACTTTGGTTGCTTTTTAGTTGTTCAAAAACACTTATTTGTGTTTCTTTTGAATGTGAGCATTCATTGAAATCACTACACTCAATATCACACTAGTCATACACTCCTAAGTTGGATTTTGAAGCATATTATGCACGAAAACCCCAGCAACCAACATTTCACATTTTCAACCGCTCATAACTTTTTGCAGATAACGGCATTGCAGATATGAAAGGTAGATTTGGAATCAGCTCATCAAAGCGCATCTAAAGATATGCGGTTCGTTCCAATCCACCACCTTAAGTTGGGATGGTTCCCTTGTGAGAGATACCAAAAAGGACAGGGTAATTCAGTCATATCCGGGAATATTAATCTAAAAGCTACTATACAAAACCGCTCATAATTCGTCAAAAAAGTCGCCGGACTGTGGCGCACTCCGCCACAGTGCGCCGGAGTGTGGCAGAGTGCGCCGGAGTGCGGCAGAGTGTGCCACACTCCGCCGCAGTGCGCCGGAATGATCGTCAATTTAGCCATATCTCGCTTCAGAGTGGACAAATTCTGAATCTGAGGACACTGTTCGATTCAGCTCGGCGAGACGCATCATCTCATATATGAAGCTGAACGTCTGTTCGTCTGCTTGTCTGTACGTATGCTCCGAATGGAAAATTCCATTTCTGAACCGATCCGGACCAAACCTGGCACACATACACTTCGGGCCCCGGCGGGTGTCATAGGTTACTTTTCGTCATCGATCGTTATCGATTTTATCGATCTTTTTGCAAAGTTTGAGCTACGGGGCTGGGAGTTTGCACAGGGGAGTAATCGAGCATGGGGATTCCGAATACAATATCAGTTTTCAGAATTATCGATTGTTATTTTGGTTGAATTCAGTGCGCTGATAACAGTATTACCATTGATCTGTCGCTGATGACACACAGACAGTATACTATAGGAGTATGGTAGAGAGCCACTCTTATCGAATTTGTTCTAAGATCTGCTCAAGATCACAATACCGCGCACAGAATGTCAGAATTTCCGTGAACTTCGCAGTTGCGGATTTCCGCGAAAGTGCGCCATAATCCGGGAAGTTCGCGACATTTCAGGATCCGCGAAACCACTCAGATAATCGCCGGGGGCAGGCGGCCATGCGATTTTTGGGGAAGCGGGCACCGGAAAAATAGTTCGCTGATTTCTTGCGGTCCGCTTGCAGATATTTGGAAGAATTTCAGCGAAATTTTGGACGAATGCTTAGAGAACAATCGCGGTTTCCTTACAGATTAGCTGCGGCGCAGTGGCCGCATTCTCGCGGACTTTCCGCGAGAATATGCAAAATTTTCGGGGGCCGCACGGTCCTTTGTGGAGGACCGCGCAGCCCCCAGGTACTTTCCGCTGAGAGAAAGTACCTCAAACTTGAGTAATTAAACCATCGATGACACCTCTGCCATGTAGACCACCTATACACCTCTCACCTATACTGGGCGTACGCCCGAAACTGCTTATAAACCGTCCGAGCGCCAGCTGAAAATTCGACCAGCGCTCGCGGAAAGAGATTATTTGACGAGCGCCTGCAGAAAATTCTGTGTTGCTGCCTCCTGGCAGAACATTAGACAGTAAAGGAAGTGCCGCCCGCTGAAGGTTTGGCCACGCCCAAAATTTTGCTGACCGCCTGCAGAAAAACGCGAGTTTGCGGACCGCCCGCCCCCGGCGATTGTCTGAGCATGCGAATCACGCAGAGTACGCAACGCCATAACATCCTTCGGAATGCATATATTCCGAATCCAAAAGCAGCATTGTGTTCAGATCGTCGAGGCAAATATTTTGATATACAGTATGCTCTCGATATTCCATTTCCAGTTTTTTCGAATCTTTTCTGTGGAGGTCTTTTCGCAAGGATGTAACGCAGCGTCTGTGTAACATAAAAGATTCCAGTAAGCACTGTTCGATAGTACTGTCCTTGTAGGTTATCGTGCGTTCAAGAATAGCTGCAGACTGTCTCCCAAAAGAGATAGAAGCGTTGGTGAACTTTGGAAAAATCACGCGTTTCCAAATTCTACTCGCCGTAACTTCCTTCGGAATGAATATATTCTGAATCCGAAAAAAGCTTTGTGCTCAGTTCATCAAGGCAAATCTTTCAATATACAGCATATCCTTGATATTCCGATTTCAATATTCTCAGATCTTTCAGTAGACGTCTTTTCGTGAAGGTGTAAAGCAGCGCGCATTGCCCCTAGTAGAACAACACGTGTTTTCATAGGCTCGTAACTCGGCGAATTTTATAGACTGGAGCCTGAGTCATGCGCCATTCGATAGCACATCTCCTAGTAACTTTGACTAGTGAAGCAAGCAGGCAGGTTCTTTGACAGACACGTGAGAGGTGGAGGCGAAGTTACGAGTTTTCGTGATGCAGTTACAGTCGCCTCACCGTATCTCTCCAAGAAGACCCTGTGATCCTCAAACACCACGATTTTCGTGAAGAGCGTGTTCGAAAACCTCTATAAGCGAAGTTTCCTTACAATTTAAGAGCATAAACATTTTGACCAAAATCCATCGGCCAGCTTCAGAGCGTAAAACGAGAAAAAATGAAATTACTCGAACATCTTGGAAAACTTGCTTATAAGGGTTATCCGACCTGCTGATTACGAAAGTCACATTTGCTTAGCAAGAGAGCTTCATATTTTGGAGTTACGTTGAGAAAAATTTAGAACGACATGATTTTTCCAGAATTCACCAGCCCTTCCAACTCCTATGGAAAGATGCCTGTGACCACTTTTTAGCGCTACGTAATCTGCAGAAAAAGTACTATCGAAATGTCCTTGCTGGAGTCTACTAGGGGCAATGCGCGCTGCTCTACACCTTCACGAAAAGACGTCTACAGAAAGATTTGAGAATATTGAAATCGGAATATCGAGGATATGCTGTATATCGAAAAATTTGCCTTAATGAACTGAGCACAGCTTTTTTCGGATTCAGAATATGTTCATTCCGAAGGAAGTTACGGCGAGTAGAATTTAGAAACGCGTGATTTTTCGAAAGTTCACCAACGCTTCTATTTCTTTTGGGAGACAGTCTGCAGCTATTCTTGAACGCGCGATAACCTACAAGGACAGTACTATCGAACAGTGCTTACTGGAATCTTTTATGTTACACAGACGCTGCGTTACATCCTTGCGAAAAGACCTCCACAGAAAAGATTCGAAAAAACTGGAAATGGAATATCGAGAGCATACTGTATATCAAAATATTTGCCTCGACGATCTGAACACAATGCTGCTTCTGGATTCGGAATATATGCATTCCGAAGGATGTTATGGCGTTGCGTACTCTGCGTGATTCGCATGGTTTCGCGGATCCTGAAATGTCGCGAACTTCCCGGATTATGGCGCACTTTGGCGAAAATCCCGCAACTGCGAAGGTCACGGAAATTCTGACATTCTGTGCGAGGTAATGTGATCTTGAGCAGATCTTAGAACAAATTCGATAAGAGTGGCTCTCTACCATACTCCTACATTATACTGTCTATGTGTCATCAGCGACAGATCAATGATAATACTGTTATCAGCGCATTGAATTCAACCAAAATAACAATTGATAATTCTGAAGACTGATATTGTATTCGGAATCCCCATGCTCGATTACCCCCCTGTGCAAACTCCCAGCCCCGTAGGTGAACTCTGCAAAAAAATCAATAAAAATCGATAAAATCGATATCGATTGATGACGAAAAGTAGCCTATGACACCCGCCGGGGCCCGAAGTGTATGTGTGCCAAGTTTGGTCCGGATCGGTTCAGAAATGGAATTTTCCATTCGGAGCATACGTACAGACAAGCAGACGAACAGACGTTCAGCTTCATATATGAGATGATGCGCCTCGCCGAGCTGAATCGAACGGTGTCCTCGGATTCAGAATTTGTCCATTCTGAAGCGAGATATGGCTAAATTGACGATCATTCCGGCGCACTGCGGCGGAGTGTGGCACACTCTGCCGCACTCCGGCGCACTCTGCCATCACTGTGGCGGAGTGTGGCGGAGTGCGCCACAGTCCGGCGACTTTTTTGACGAATTATGAGCGGTATTGTATCTGCACTTGAATGCTTGGTTTTAAGAGATGCGGCGATATTCCGACTCATGCATAGATCCTACTTAGCTATCCACGTACAATAATGATTACCTGGAAAGCAAGCACCTTTGACTCCTTTATGTCCTCCCAATCGACTGGGAGGAACGGAGAAACATCAGATGGATTCTGGAATGTCTTCACTTTAAAAGCATTTCCATAATCAAATGTACTGACCAGACGTCCACCAAAAACAACTGATGAAAAACTGACATCTTCACAGTTTTCCGGGCATTCAATAGTGCTATCGGTATCCAACAAGATTGAGGTCTCGAAAAGTTTTTTTGAGGAGAGAAACTGGACGAATCAAACTTACAAATCTAGCGACACAGTCAAATTCTTGCTTAATTGTACATGGCTTCAAGCGACGTCGGCGAGCGCCCTTTGCATGCAATAGTTTCTATAACACAGTGGCTAGAAAAGTTGGAAGACCTTGAACGCCCCAACGCAGATGATTTTAATGGTGAATTCGGCTTTGCTCTCTTACTACAGCGCTGGCCATAGCTATAAAGCCACCCTAAAAATCACGGTAATTTGCCCTGTCTTGGATAAAACTACTTGAGGAACCACTATCCTCTGTGTATGTAATCCATTGTTATATCACTGTTCAAAACGGCTCCCATTTATATAGATTTTGTCCGGAGAAATAGTGAAAAATTTGAAAAAACCTGCTCCGAAGGCTCGTCACAGCTATAAGGCCACCTCCTATTTTCAAGCAATACTACACTCTTTCAACCAAGAATTTTTTATATAGTTACAGCATCAAAATATAAAATGTTTACTTGGAAGCTGTCGCCTTTGTGAAAGTAAATTCAAACTGCACTTTTTGCTTCAAAGTGCATAAAAAGTCACATTTTTTCAAAAAACTTCTGGTTCACTGAGTTTTCATGTACTCATTTGATTAGAGTGAAGGTATTAGGATTCGCTGAGCCTTTGAAATGAATGCAGTGAAAGGCGCTTGACTCAACTTTGCGTTGTTGCTGATGTTGTTGGGCGCGCCTCAACCTAATCAAGGGTGCAGCACGCTTTGAAACCACAAAACTCGATTTCTGACGCGCGAAAACTTCTGGCCGGAAGCTGGCATCTTGTTTGCATGAAGATGCCTTTATGAAAAAGTTGTCAGATTCTTCGCAAAGGCGCAACTGCAACGTTGGAGTTAAAATGCTTCATCTGTAGTTCAATTGTGCGCAGTAGATCTAACGTGACTTCAGACTCTGCTCCTGTTAACTCCTCATGAAGTCAGATCTTGTGGAACTGTTGGAAACACTAGAATTCGAAGCTGTTCCACTCTCACCACTCATTCCAGGTTTTCTTCGGATTGAGTGGTGAGAGTGGGACATGATTACCTACAGTGTGCCACTCATCTTTGCAGGAACACGCGCGACGCGAAACTCATACTCTATATAAAGCGCAAGTACCCCCATGTGACTCATCACCTCTTGGATGGATGTCTGTTTGCAGAGTGATCTTTGATAACTTGCTCCCTGTAGACATGTTTTCGTAAATGAGTCTCGCAAGTACATTTGCCGTTTTGGTGTCACTACAACTAGAAAAGTAAAAACCATCCCTTTCAAGATGTTTACGCTTTGTTAATGCAGCCTGTATTTTACTCGCAACACTAAGGTATAGGATGGAGCCCTGTGTCATGTTGATTTATCTGCTCTCCCAGTGCTACCCAATACAGTTGCAACAAGTTCACCGGCAACTGCAAATGTGATTTCTCTCATCAAAGTTCTCGGTTATTACCTGTAGCGTAGTGGGTTTTGGATCACTTCGGGTCAAGCTAAAGAAAGCGGGCCAGGCTAAAGTCTACAGAAAAAAAGCGGGTTGTAGAGTTTTGGCAAAATTTGAATGGTTGAAAAATTGACATTCTCGAAAATCTCAGGAGCGAAATAGTGTGTTCCTGGATTTTGAATTCCGACTTTGAAAATGTAAATGACGGCTAGAAATCTTTCACGAGTAAAGAGTTCAAAATATTTATAAAAAAACTGGGAGAGGATGTTAGGAGCGTTTCCCGAGTTGGGAAAGAAGGTCGAAGAGAATTCGATGTATTTCTCAATGTGAAAAACATCGCCACAGGAGAGCAAAAGCGGATGCGGTTGACTCTTGGAAGTTTGGAAAATCCTGTCGTTTGTCCTGGAAACTCCGAGTGCGGAACTCTGAAGAGCGCTGGAAAATTTTTTTGTCTTCAATGCTTAGTAGGAGAAACACGACAGCTAGCGCTAGACCAAAAAATGTAGAGAATTATCTGAAGAATTCTGACTAGGTAAAGCTTCGGAGTAAGAAAACTTGGTAAAGAATTCTAACATAAACTTTTCAATCATCTCAATCCCATCTGTTTTACTCCTCTGTTCTTCAGCAAAAGTAAGAAACCAACGAAGAGTTGGGGAAGGGGTGAAGGGGGAAGGGAAGAAGAAGGATTTTAGAAGTCAAGAGATGGCGGTAAAAACGGTGCACATGAACATAAAAAAGTTGATGTGGAGAATAGAGGAGTGAGGGATACTATGGGAGGGAAGAAGAGGGCTGTAGAGAGCAGGTGAGCATCTACTGGCAGTTTACTAAAAAGTTTCGGGCATTAGGAGGCTGCGGAGCTTTTACTAGGGTAACAGGGGCGTGGGGCTGTCTGAGCTCGTAGACGGCCCTCATCGGTCTTATATCTTTTTGACGCGATATCAGAGCAATTCCGCACTTTGCTCTTAAGCAGTTAGAATGACCAACTGTTTGATTTCTTAAATTTTTATATTCTGCGGTGGAGGGCAAATTAGGCAGAAGAGAGTAGGTGAGCATGCTTGTTTCTTTGTAAATAATATTCGAGGTTTTTAAGCATGTACGAAGATATGTAATTCCAAACATAGATTTCTGTGAGTGAAGATAAGCGCGAAACTTTGAAGATATATGTTTGAACTATGGCGCATATTTAAGACTACATTTTTTGAAGCGATTCATTTATAAATTCTATCAACTTACTGGTTTGTTCTATTATGTGTAAGAAATCAAAGCTTACATTATTAACGATTATTTCCCCGTAGTCAAAATGAAATTAATTAACTCTTTTACATTTCGCAGCAAGAAGATGCATTGTCTCGAAGGCAATTAGCAAAGATCACAACCTAGCACGGAGCGCTGAAACGCTTTGAGGCAGGGAGGATTAGGGAGGAGAACGAAACTAAAGATAAACGGAGGAAGATAAGTCTTTTCTCGCGAAAATTCATCCGTTTGTCGGACGGATTGAGCACACGGTCTAGGGGCGTGGACGTTAGCTGATTGTGAATAAAATATTCACCTCCCTTATTCTTCCATCAAAAATTTATCTCTCTGCCTTGTTCACTGAGGTTTAAGCATACTACACGAAAAGTTCGTATGCTGATCATCATCTAGTACTTAAAAGATGCATTTTATTTCCCTACGGTTTCAGGGGGTCAAACATGGAAAACAAGCGTTAAATTCTCGGATAGTTTTTTAGCACTTTTGCATAGCGGCAGCTCACCGGCTACTAGCTGATAATCTAACTTACCAATGGTTTTTCAGCGAATACGTGTCTGTTGTGCGGACTGTGAACTGGGCGACATTTGCAGAATTTCTCAACGTTCTGGGTGACGGATACCCACTCACACGATTCCTTCGAGTACAGCTTGCGCGAAAATGGCCCAATGGCACGCTTTCCGCAGTTTTGACTGTACCGCGTCAGCTAAAATGCGTCGTATTGAGCTGCTGCTTATTCTTATTAGTATAATTCATATTCTTATGAATAATATTTTTATTACAGCCACAAACGCATACCCTTCGCACTTCGTTTATCGGAATCGTGACCACTTTTCCAGCTTCGAGATGAACGCCAACGCTGTGATGCGGTGTTGATTCAACATCAGCATCGTGCAGGGACAAAATGATACCAGAGTCCGCAACAGTACCAGGAATGATATCGTACGGTTCTAGATTTAGGACCAGGGAAAGGGTTGTTTCCGGACCTGGTGTACTCAATGATTTCATGTTAACTTCCACGTCGAATAAATCACTAAAATCAAACCTGGCCTCCTTACTGTAATATTGGGCGCCACCACAAAGCAAACGCCATACTCGGTCAAAAACGGCTCAATTTCGTCCAAACATGACCCCTTCTTGCCGATTTCGCAACTAAAAATGAAAGATTACAAGAAACACTGCATTACTGCCACTGCTCTAATCCCCTCCTAAATTTTCTTGCAAATTTTGCACAGAAAAAGCCAATAATCGAAAGCATATACGGTATGCATGCTTATGTGCAGTCGTCGATGGAGATTTCACAGTCAGCACGATGAATGGCAACAATCAGGTTTCTCTTATGCACATTGTACTAGTTAGCACGTTTTTCTATGTGTGTTATTCCTGAAGCACTATTTTCTTTTACTGGAAGAAACTATTCTTCTATTGTGTCGGTGTTGTTGCTTTGCCAGCACAAGGTTTGGATGAAACTTTATTGTCATCAGTGTCTAATTGCTTCGACTACGCGTTGTCTTCAGTGGCTTAAAATAGTGCGGAATTCGTAATCTTATCTCTGCTCAAATGGCTCGTCAATTATCGGCTAGCTTCTCGCTCTTCACAACCAAAAATCGCAGGATGAGAAAGGCAAACAGTGTCGGTGTTGTTGCTTTGCCTCCGGTGCACTTGATGTTATGCGAGCGCGTTTGGTGACAGTAGTGAAAGTATGCCATTTAGTCATATTGTAAATGTAGTTTCTACCTTACCATAGCCCACAAAGTAAGAAAACGGCATGAGTCCTTTGTTACGGTCACTCACTTTTTGCGTTTTTCCCCGGTCCAAAATGCGTCGACTGCTTTCCGCGCAGAAGTTCTTATCGTTAGAAAAAAGTGACTTCTATCAGTTTCTTCGTGCCCTCTCTTACCGTAATATTGCGATTTCAAATCTCCTTAGAAGTTAGCTGAAACGACGCGATATTGCCTTTGAGCAAGTTTCCTATCTGCTGCAGTTGCCTTCGGGTAAGACACCAATGAAGTGTTGTTCTCTTCAGTTGCTAAGAAAGGAGTGGAAGCAATTATTCTCTACTAGGTTGTCTGATAAGTCTTTTCATTTTTGAGTTTTCGCTGTAATGAGTCACTTCTTGTTCTAAACAAACATTAGGACACCATTCGATGGAGCAAAGCAAGCTCTATGAAATATCATCTTTGTTTTGCACCAGCTTTGATCAACCTCAAGAAACCAAAATCTAAAGACCTCCGGATACACAGAAAATTGAAGATTTTTTATATCTTCGTTCAAAAAGGTTCTACAGGTCTCTCACTCACTCATGCATACAATACCGCTCATAATTCGTCAAAAAAGTCGCCGGACTGCGGCGGAATGCGCTAGAGTGCGTCGGAGTGTGGCGGAGTGTGGTGCAGTGCGCCGGAGTGCGTCGGAGTGTGGCGGACTGCGGCGGAGTGCGCTAGAGTGCGTTGGAGTGTGGCGGAGTGCGGCGCAGTGCGCCGGAGTGCGGCGGAGTGTGGCGGAGTGCGCCGCACTCCGGCGACTTTTTTGACGAATTATGAGCGGTATTGTATATGGAGTGAGTGGAAGGAAATATACATATACTAGCTGGCTTACCCGGCTCCGCCGTATCCGGACCAAACTTGGCACACATACACTTCGGGCCCCGGCGGGTGTCACAGTCCACTTTTCGTTATCGATCGATGTCGATTTTACCGATTTTTATCGATCTTTTGGCAGAGTTCACCTACAGGGCTAGGAGTTGGCACAGGGGGGAAGTGAGCATGGGGATTCCGAATACAATATTAGTTTTCAGAATTATCGATTGCTTTTATTGATTTTATCGATTTTTTGGCAGAGTTCACCTACAGGGCTAGGAGTTGGCACAGGGGGGAAGTGAGCATGGGGATTCCGAATACAATATTAGTTTTCAGGATCGTCCATTACTTTTATCGATTTTATCGATTTTTTTGCAAAGTTTGACCTGCGGGGCTGGGAGTTTGCACAGAGGGTAATCGAGCATGCAGATTACGAATACAATATTAGTTTTCAAGATCGTCCATTACTTTTATCGATTTTATCGATTTTTTGAAAATTTGAGCTAGGGGGCTGGAATTTGGCACAGGGGTGTTCGAGCATGCTGATCACCCCCCTTGGGGATGATCAGCATGCTCGATTACCCCCCTGTGCCAACTCCCAGCCCCCTAGCTCAAACTTTGCAAAAAAATCGATAAAATCGATAAAAGTAATCGATAATCCTGAAAACCAATATTGTATTCGGAATCCCCATGCTCGATTACCCCCTGTGCGAACTCCCAGCCCCGTAGGTGAACTCAGCAAAAAAATCGATAAAAATCGATAAAATCGATATCGATCGATGACGAAAAGTAGCCTATGACACCCGCCGGGGCCCGTAGTGTATGTGTGCCAAGTTTGGTCCGGATCGGTTCAGAAATGGAATTTTCTATTCGGAACATACGTACACACAGACAGACATACAGACATACAGACAGACAGACAGACAGACAAACAGACATTCAGCTTTATATATAAGATTAGGTGTATAATAACATCAGAAGTGGGTGGGGCTTCACAGCTCAACAGCGATAAAATCGATATTTTGAAGTTAGAGAACTATCAAAACCTCAAAAAACGTCAAAAATCGATAAAGTCGGTGTTCTGGAGGTTGCAAAAATCCCAAAAATTGCCAAAAATCGATAAAATCGATATTCTGGAGGTTGCAAAATTCCCAAAAATTGTCAAAAATCGATAAAATCGACATTGTGGAGGTTGCAAAATTTCGAAAATTGGCGAAAATCGATATTCTGGAGGTTGCAAAATTCCCAAAAATCGGCGAAAATCGATATTCTGGAGGTTGCAAAATTCCCAAAAATTGTCAAAAATCGATAAAATCGACATTCTGAAGGTTGCGAAATTCCCAAAAATCGGCGAAAATCGATAAAATCGACATTGTGGAGGTTGCGAAATTTCGAAAATTGGCGAAAATCGATATTCTGGAGGTTGCAAAATTCCCAAAAATTGTCAAAAATCGATAAAATCGATATTCTGAAGGTTGCAAAATTCCCAAAAATTGTCAAAAATCGATAAATCCGATGTTTCTCAAACTCCAAAACCTCAAAAATCGTTAAAATCGATATTCTGAAGGTTGCGAAATTCCGAAAATCGATAAAATCAGAGATTTGGAGAATTTGGAGATTTCGCAACCTCAAAAACTTTGATTTTGCCAGTTTTGAAGATTCACACACCCACCTTCAAACCTCAAGGCTCCATTCACTTCACTAGACTCCGCCCACTCAACCGCAAGCCCCGCCCCCTTTTCCTCCCAACTCTACAAAATGAGCGAATAACAGCGAAAAATTTGAAGAAGTGCGGAGCAACCTCACTTCCAGTGCTATTACACACCTAAAACTCGTCCAAACAAGCTCCGCCCACTTTATTTCCCACAACACTATCAAAATTAGAGAAAATAAGGAAAAATAAGCGAAAATCGCGTTTTTCTAAGCCTATTTACCCCCTTTCTAGCCGGTTTCAGCCCCTAACCAGGTCCAGATGGCCGGGGAGAAGCTGTACACGAAGCGGTAATAAAGAGAGGGGAAAAAATAAGGGGGGAGAAAGAAAGGGGGGAGAAAGAGGAAAAATCGCGTGTCTAAGTTTTTTTTTAAGTCCGGGAAGGTTCATAGATAGGCTCCCACAGGCGGAGCCCCTACATTTTCTCCGAATTATATGTGGTGTCCCCCTCGAATACAAACTGAAGAATGGCTATCCCAGCCCGTCATCCCTACTCTCCGCGGAGAAAAAATTCAAAATATGCACCATCGCCGTTATATAGCGCCTCCTACAGGGAATCTCTAGGCACAAGCTACCCCTAGAAAAATAGTGCTACCAAAACTACATCTCAATGGCCACCTGAGATTACCCCAGCCCTGCAACTCTTACAGATATAAGGCGCCGAAATCGCCCTTATTGACAGATTTCCCAAGTTCGGCTGTCAATTAGGCACTTTTAATGGAAATTTGTTATTCTACGACCTTCTCTCTAAAAATCATATTTTTAGAGATCTGTCGAATAAAACAAACCCCAGCCCCGTAGCTGTAATATTCGCAGAGTTATTAGCCCCCCAACATGCAAGCTCAGGCCGTAAAATTGGCTCCCCCAGAGTTGCTCCGTAATTCCCCCAAAAATCACGTTAGACACCTGTCTCATACTTATACATTACATATTTTTTCCGGCTTCTTAGAAGCAATACTCATTGATATAGCGCGATCGCTCCTCACTCTTGGCCTCGGCGCAAAATTTGGTCAAAATATTGAGGTTTTCGGATTGGCCGCAAACTTCACTCATAGTGGTTCTTGGTTCCGATCTTTACGAAAATCCTATTTATTTTGCACTAGAGAGTCTTACAGTGAAGCTAAAGTGAGATAGAAGTAGCTGAACCAATCAAGATCGCAACTTCGCCTGCACTTTTCCCCTACCTGTTGCGGAAATTGTCTGCAAATTTTTGTGAGTTGAAAACTTTGTGAACACCTCTATCGGACCACGCTTAGCACAGATCTTTATTTGAATTGTTCGTCAGATTATGATGCTACAAAATCGCCTTCTCATGAATTCTCTTTCAAATTCGAAAGTCGTGTAATTTGGCAGATATTCTATCCTACAATGTGCCACCAGCAGCAAAACAATGTAAGAAATGTTGTTAGCACGTCGAGTACAATACCGCTCACAGAATGTGCAAAATTTCCGTGAATGTCGCGAAATTCCGAAAATTCCGCGAACTTTCAGGAGTTTCGCGAAATTCCGGAAAGTTCGCGGAATTTTCGGAATTTCGCGACATTCACGGAAATTTTGCAAGTTATGTGAGTGGTATTGTAGAATGCAAGAAGATGCCCAACGATTGTTACAAGAGCGCAACGATACCAGTGTGGAAGAACAAGGGGGATATAACAGACTGCTCTACATACAATACCGCTCATAATTCGTCAAAAAAGTCGCCGGACTGCGGCGGAATGCGCTAGAGTGCGTCGGAGTGTGGCGGAGTGTGGCGCAGTGCGCCGGAGTGCGTCGGAGTGTGGCGGACTGCGGCGGAGTGCGCTAGAGTGCGTTGGAGTGTGGCGGAGTGCGGCGCAGTGCGCCGGAGTGCGGCGGAGTGTGGCGGAGTGCGCCGCACTCCGGCGACTTTTTTTGACGAATTATGAGCGGTATTGTATAAGTCCACATCAGACACACGATGTGCTGCTGCTGTATTTTTTATTAAGTGAAAATCAAGAAAACAAAAATTTCCATGTTTATACCAAAGGGATGCTGTGCTGTCCTCACACTAACATTGTATACCATAAGCCCTTAGAAGTCTCACTCGTTTTTGAAGCCTAACTCAACACTTGAAAACCAGAGCATACAGAGAGCCAAAGAATTACGGTTGTACTTGTGAGATTGCAGCAATTGTTAGTGTAAGAACAGCACAGCATCACTTTGGTAAAAACATGGAAATTTTCGTTTTCTTAACTTCCAGTTAATAAAAAAGTACTGCAACGGCACATATGAGCGCCTGATGTGGAATGTATATGAGTGAGCGAGTGAGAGTTCTGTAGGACTTTTTTGAATGAAGAATAATATCAAAGAATCTTCAATCTTCTGGGTATCCGAAGCTTTTTAGATTTTGGTTTCAAACTTGAGATGAATCGGAACTGGTGAGAGACAGAGATGCCATTTTATAGAGCTTTCTTTGCTCTATCGAACGGCATCCTGATTTCTATTCAGAATACGAAGTGTATGACTTATCACATCGAAAACTCAAAAATGAAGAGACTTATGGGACAACCTAATATTTTCTCTTAAAAGATGAAATGCTTGCGCAAGAAACCTAAAACAAACGATCAACCCTGCACATTTGAGCAAATGTCTTAGGCCTAAGGGAGCTTCCAGACTGCGCCGGTTGCCGCTTATGCAGCCGTTAGTCGCTTTCGCGTCGATTGCCGCTATTGCAGCCCAAGCGCAGTAAGTCAAGCTAATGTCTCACTGGCGCTCGTCCAGCTCGAAAATTCAGATCAACCTATTTTTTGTGCTTTTTGATATCTGTTTATTAATTTGTCTGTTATGGACTGGTTTCCAGGTACAAGCTTTTGGACAATGGTTGCTTGAAGGTTTGGAACATCGTCGTTGAGCGCAAATGCGCTACATATCGCCAACATTAAGCTGGAGTTCACAGAGCGGACTGTTTATTGCATTTTTCTTTCAAATGTTGTTATGGTCAAGCTTCATAATTTGTGACTGATGCGGTTGAAACTCTGGGTGCGATATTGAAGTGCATTCGTGCAAATCCATGATGATGCATGGAGTAAGCATGGAGAAACCGCATCATCCACTGAGCTTACCACGAAAACAAAAAGGTAAATAGCAAGACACCGGGATTAATCAACGTATTTATGCTCATATTTTATATATGTTGTAAGCGTTGCGGTTTTCCATGCTTGCGCCCACACCTCATCATGGATTTGCAATACTCTTTAATATTGCATGCAGCTTTTCAAACCGCATCATTCACAAAAAGCACAAAAATTGCGCTCAACAACTGGAAAAAGAGAAAAAACGGGTTACTTTGTAAACTCTAGCTCAATGTAGGCGATACTTAGCGCATATGCCTTCAGCGATAATGTTTTAAGTGTTCGAGCAACCATCATTCAAAAACTCGTGTCTCGAAACCAGCCTATAACAGGCAAATTAATAAACAGTTGTAAAAACACAGGAAAATAGGTTGCTTTAATGAGTTTTCGCGCCACACACGCGCCAGCGAGAGAATGGCTTGACCCACTACTTCGGCTGCAACAGCTGCAATCGGCGCGAAAGCGGCTAACGGCTGCAAAAGCGGCAACCGGAGCGTTCTGGAAGCTCCCTAAGGCATATGGCATACGTCACGCGATTCCAGTCGTTGCGGGATCCGGCACTGCAACGACTCCTCATAAATGATCGTAAGCTCGCTTTGTTTGGGCCAGACTTGCTGCGTCTACTACAAGTAATCTAGGTGCCCATGCATTTGAGACCCGCGCATGGTTAATCTGCAGACATATGACAAATCGCCAAGTCGCGTGGATATAGCGATTGAATCGCGGGAAGTATGCGTATGCTTTAGGTCTTATCGCTCTGATTTGATTATTGTGCTCGTTCCCACATAATCATTACAACAAAGATTCTGAATAGTGCATTCTTTCGACGAAAAATTATTCGCATGGCATAAACATAATTCTGCGGAACCATTGACATTCCTCCATGACTGAAGCACTGACTGAGAAGCAGGATCTTTAGCATTATCTTCAGAGAATTTGTGAGCAGAAAACGCATTTTGATAGAGATTTAGAAGCACAGATAAAATGCGAGCATAGGTAGTTTAGCTGTGCCTTCCTGGCGTAACTTCTTTTTTAAAAATTGTGCAAAACTGTTACTATTTCTCCGATGTTACTGTACTTCTCAAAATTCAAAAACTAAGGCTTTACCACACCTAAAACATTCATTTTCATCCGCAAGAAGCGATGTCTCAAAATGGGACACGTATCAAGAATTGTACATGCTACACCAGCTTTCTCTTCTTTCACTCAAAACGCTGGTAATCTTGCAAACCGTGCGCTTTCGCGCTTTGTTGCAGTCGTACAATGTACCCTATTTTCAGGTGTATAAGCCGCACCTTTTTCCTTTGAAGGCGAACACGCCAAAAGACTAACTGTCATCATGGAGCGCGTTAAGTGAGAGCAGTATGCGATAAGGCGACCGCTTCGCGACACATAAGCGCGACGGCACGCCTGGGTCTGCTCGCGTTTAGAGCAAAGAGGGTGCGGCTTATACACCTGAAAATAGAGTACTGTAAATTCTCTGCTTCGGGATGCTTCTTTGTGGTGACATGAATGAACATGAACGATATAAAAGCTGGAAAGCTCGGGAATTTTAAACGATACTGTCGCAAGTAGAGGAACTACATTTCGAACTTTGGGATGACTACTGTCTTTACTGATAGATACATCCACCTGCTGAAGCAGGAGCTTCAATGAGCAATTATTGAACGATACTGGTTTCAGAGCATGAAATTTTCCACTTATTCTCATAAACCCCTACAAATCGAATATGTATTTTAATTTCAATGTTGACATGAACAAACCTTAAAAACAAGTCCTCTACTTTTTGATGAGCTGCTTTGTACATCGCCAATGTATCGACGTGATCAAACATGCTTAGTTCCTCCAGTAATGTTCTGTTCTCCGTTATCTAGAAGCACGAGTCCATAACGTAAACTTTTTTTATATGATAGTTGGGGTATACATACATTTGCCCACCGTATGCTCTGCCAAGCTCGGAGTTAAGCGGCAACAAAGTTTGCATTGTTCATGCTTAGATATGAGATTCAATGGTTTGAAAGTTTTCGAAGAAACAGAGCCGAAATCGAGTAACAATAAACATATTATCAGCTTCAGTCGGAAAAAATACGAAAGACTTTGCAGTTAGATTGTTTTGTAAGCACATTTTGTTTATCAGTTTTTCGACTGCCGCACCCATGCAGACCTTCTATTCGTGCTCTAGCGAGTGTTTTAAGCGCTCTACTCCTTGTACTGTCAATGTACATGTGCTTGTATAGAAACAAATAATTAAAACTATTGTATTCAAACCTGCCCTTCATCTTCGTACAACAATGAGAGGTAACGAAGTAATTCAGGTTCACGGGCGGCGAAGGCTGACGCTCTGAAAGTTAGAAAGTGATTTAATTATAAGTTTAGTTTCAGCTTCATTTCCATGCGCTGAAGAACATCATTCGTTTTTTATTTATTTTGGGTCAGTGACAATCTGGTCGAATCTCCGAGTTTTGAAGGCACTGTCCAAGCAAAAAGTCGATTTTGAGATTTTGTGCTTACCTGGGCCTATTCCCTATGCTGAATCCGAAAATCAACGCTGGAGAGCGCGAAAACGGCATAAAAAGGCTCTAAAGGAAGAGGGAAATTGCAGGTAGGTGGGCGGGGCTGTTCACATAGTGGCGTAACTCTCCCAGCTTCAGAAGCGATCTTCTCGCTCGCGCTAGTCGCTCTAACATCACCACCAGCCAACTGCGAAACGCATGACATAAAATCGGAACCGACAAGATCGCTCCTAAAGCCTAGGAGAGTGACGTCACGGTATGAAAGGCCCCGCCCACCTCTGATTTCCCTACTGCGTTACGGCCTTTTTTGGCGTTTTCGCGCTCTCCATTGTGGTTTATCGGATTCAGTATGACGAGTAGGCTCGGGTAAGCACAAAACCTCAAAATCGACTTTTTGCTTGGACACTGCCTTTAAGTTCTAACTCAGAAATGACCCTGAGTTCTGTTTTCAAACTCAAATTTTTGCTTATTGAAACTCTGAGTTCCGCTTCAAAGTTTCGAGTTCCGACTCTCAAGTTCGGAGTTTCGATTTGTTGTTTGAAAAGCTTTGTGCATGTTACCGCAAAAGCGACGTCCAAGTTGGGACTCGCACCTGTTCAATCTGAGCGTCATAAATCCTACCACTAAGCTACTAAGCCACGACTTATCTGAGTGTAGAATTGCTTTGCCTTAATGTAATCACTGCACTAACTCAAAGCATGTCAAAACATGTTATATCAAAGCCTCGCTAATCTTCATTTTCATCGAGGTGGTTTATCGCACGAATTGGTCTTTTGCGTAGCCGAAAGCTTCAATAGAAAAAGCTGATAGCATGAAAGGATGGACTATTCAATTTGCACACAGAATAAACCCTCTGGACAAAGCCTGGTTTCAATCTGTGATTCTACGTCTTATACCGTCATATGTCCACAGTAACCCTGCTAGATGACATTACCGCATTGAAGGTTTTGTAAGGTTTGTACTGATACATGACGTCACTGATATATATAAACTTGTGGTTAGCCCAAAGGAAACCACCTGCCGGACCAAATTCTAGGAACTTTTATGATTTTATCCTACTTATCGTGTATTTGCCGCACTGTACGTAGTAAATAGACTGGAACACCAGGCATGACATCAGTGTACCATTTCAGCTGATTCTGTCACTTTGGCTCACTACTATAAACCTGCCGTAACCTCGTCATATATCACTGCAGTAGAAACGAGTACTATATCCGTGATGAGCGCACCGAGTAACCCTACCGGTCCATGTTTCGGTCAACTCCGTGATTTTCTCTTGTCTACCGTAAATTTACCGTAACCCCGCTATATGACCCCATAGTGAAAAATGTTCGTGTTCAGGGCATCCCTTAGGTCAAAATTTTGCAAGACTTCAGAATTCGTAAATGACAGCGCACCACGATACCCCAACAAGCTTGCTGAAACTACGACCAAAATGTACTCCTTAGGAATATTTAGCTGCCCCTCTTCTTTTCTCCACTATTTCTCTTTCTTTGACAGCTCAGAGTTATCTCTGAGTCCCAGATAGACCGCGCGCACCAAACTCAGAGTTATCGCAGAGCTTAGCTGCGCGTGTGGCGCTGTTTCTTGTGTAATGTCGGCAGTGTTTCCCCACATTAGGTAAACTACCGGTTTACGGAGTATCCAGCTGTATCATCGCTTTCCAGATTTGGTCCACTTAAGCACCTGTTAAGGGGGACAAAGATGTGCACGCTAGCTTAAAGATAACTCAGAGTTGTAATTGTGAGTTTCGACGGGTTTACTACAGACCCACATTTTTATTTAGCCAGATGCAAGGTTTCAAAAGACTCAACGTTATCCATCTACTTTCTGTTCCATGCTAAAAAATTTTTTTCAATAAACTAAAATACCTTGCAACAACAACGAATGAAAAATTTAAAACACACATTAAATGCAACTTTTACTTCCCCTGGCAATGCTTATGTTTAAAGTAACTTCAGGTTGCTTTCAAACTATACCAAAATTTGTCCCTCATACTTTTGTTCACATATGATAAGATTTTTCTAAGCTTCTACATAAAAAATAGAGCGAATTTTGGGTCATGAAATGACGTTTGAACTATTCCGACTACTTAAACTTTCACAAGATCGATTTTAATAACGTGAAACACATGTGTGTAGCGTAAAAATGACGGCAGTACTGACGGTTCAGTAGCTTACAAATGGTGGGAAAAGTGCCAATCCAAACAAGCTGTGTAATACTAGATTTTTCGTATCTGCTGAACGCTTTTGTGAACTATGTTACAATGCATTGAAGATACTGTCGAGTACATTTTTCGCTCAATATAGTGTGCTTGCACTGAAGGTGAAATGCGGTAAAATTTGCGCGTGAACAAATAGCTGCGCCCGTGACGTTGGCCAATCGCGCGCAAAAGGCTGGCATTACTGCGATAGCTACTTGTTCACGCGCAAATTTCACCGCATCTCACTTTCAGTGCAAGCACAATATATCAAGCGGAAAATCTACTCGACTGTAGTTATTTTGCTAAGAAATTGTACGTGTAAAGGTCAAATTAGACCGTGCAGCGCCATGCTCGATCTGATGTGGACCAAAACCTGCAGCTAGGTAACTTCAAATGGACCATACCTGAAACTGAGCTAAAAGGGCAATAAGGTGCTTAATTTCGCAATTTTTATGCACGATTTTTGCATTAAAACTGCGTATAGCTTCGCCTCAAAGGCGTTTAACAGATATGAAAACCGATTTGAAATCAGCGTTCTATGCATTGAATGGTATGTAGCTTGTTTGGTCACTTGGACTTCTGACCATTCCCTTGTTAGTTGTTGTTGAGATGTGATGATTGGCTTTGGATTATGCTTTTGGAATTCTTGCTACGACCAGGGCCAAGCTAGTCAAACGTTAAGATTGAATTTAAAATGTATCAGCAGCAGCTTTTTTCAAATTGCCAAAACAAAACAAAATCAAAGTGGGCGTATTTGGGATTGCTCTGAGTATCATGGCTATGACAGCCAGGGCTCGGCACAACTAACAAGTGGACAAGCTGGTTTGTTTTTGGGGACAAAAGCAAAAGGATTTCGTACGGGGTTTGGGCTTAGGCCGGAGACGTGTGAAAGCTGCACAAGTTTGCTCAGTGATATAAAAAAATATATCCGCATAAAAGTCGTGAGATGTCAATGGGGGTTAGATTAGAGACATCGTCCCGCAAATTCTCGACTTTCGTATTCCGGTCGTTCCAGGGTATTTTCATGTCCCCGATTCCAAATATGAAGTCGAAAATCTCTGATAATCACCGTTCCGGAAAATCCGCGGGCCAGTTCTCCGAGACGGTCATTGGATGAGCGCGCAAGGATGGGCGGGCATTACGGGAAGGAGATGGAGGGAGGGGGAGGGGGGGGGGGGAAATGGTGCCGACTTGGGGTCCTCATGCTTCTTCGCTATTCCAGCGATTTTCTCTTTCTTGCGCCGCGACTTTGGCATAGGTTTGATGGAGAGTCCTACCATTGTAAGATGTTAAAGGCTGTGTTTGCTCATACTGATCCCGAAGTACGGAAACAGTTCCAGCAAAGCGCTCGAACTGAACGCTGTGCTGGAACTTTTCCCGAACTCCGGGATCAGTCTGAACGTAGCCAAAAGCTCAAGACACCTAACTTAAGTGGAAGGTGCAGATGACAAAATTTTCATAAATTCACTACTAGATGAAAAGACGGCTTGTATGCAGCGCGCACGTAAATTTGACGCTATTCTGTGAGATTAATGCGTTAAATGTGAGTAGGGAAAATGTATGAATAATTCTAAAAACCTATGTGATTCAAAGCACAAGCATTCAAAGCGAAAACTTTGTTCTATTAGGTTGGTAAGAAAGTTCTCGGACATTTTCAAAAAAAATCTGCTATTTCTCGAAGCCTAACGCATATACATCAGATAGAGGTACCATTCGATAAAGAAAAGCAAACTCTACAAGATGGTATGCAAAAGCTTGCACCAACTTCGACCCATCGTAAGTTTGCACTCAAAATCTGAGTCGTACTGAGATTCAAAAAATCGCGAAAAATTCATATCTTTGTTCAAACAAATCCTACGGATCTCCAACTTCCACATAAAAATTGCGGACCACATCAGACACTCATATGCACCGTTCCTGTAATTTTTCCTCATCTAGAAATTGAAAAAACGAAAATTTTCATGCTTTTATAAAAACGAAGCTGTGCTGTTTCCACCCATGTAATTGAATAGTACAAGCGCTTAGAAGTACAACCGTAAATTTTCAGCTCTCCGGAAGCCCTAGTTCCCGAAAATCACCGAATTGAGCGCTCCTCACTCGGGCGTTCCATGCTAAAATCAATATTTTTCGACAACTAGGGCTTACGGAAAGCTGAAAATTTATGGTTATACTTTTAAGGGCTTTTACTATTCAATTACGTCGGTAGAAACAGCACAGCTTCGTTTTTATAAAAGCATGAAAATTTTCGTTTTTTCAATTTCCAGATGAGGAAAAATTACAGCAACGGTGCATATGAGTGTCTAATGTGGTCCGCAACTTTTGTGAGCAAGTTGGAGATCCGTAAGATTTGTTTGAACAAAGATATGAATTTTTCGCGATTTTTTGAATTTCAGTAGGACTCAGATTTTGATTGCAAACTTACGATGGGTCGAAGTTGGTGCAAACTTTTGCATACCATCTTGTAGAGTTGGCTTTGCTCTATCGAATGGTACCTCTATCTGATGTATATGCGTTAGGTTTCGAGAAATAGCAGATTTTTTCTGAAAATGTCCGAGAACTTTCTTACCAACCTAATAGTTTAAGTGGCCTCAAGCCAACCAGTCGCTGGTAACTCAGTCGTGACTTTAGTGGATCGGTGAGAAAGCCAATCTCATGTTTAGGCCCTTTATGCACTCCGTAAAAATTTGAGAAGGCACTCTGTCCTTATTAACTCAGACAGTCGGTGCCGTAGCTCCGGAGGACAGTCGAAATCTGGCAGAGCCGCGGAGGACCCAATTGACCATTGAGGAGCGGGGCGAGGGGGCGGTCCCTTCTTGTAGGTCACGGTGACGTCACAAGCAGGCGAATGGGACCCCTCTCCGGGACGCGCAAATCTCTGCTCCGGAGGTACGCCAGATTTGGGACACCTCCGGAGCAAAAAATGGCAGGACTCCGGAGCACAAATGGGAGGGCCCGGAGCACAAATGGGAGCGCCCCGGAGCAGAAAATTGGAGGTCTCCGGAGCACAATAGGTACGCAGCCAATTTGCTGTAATACGCAGCTTAGCATTTTCGAAAATAATCTGCCGTCGCTCTCGACTTACCCTTTTTTGTCGTTCTTTCGCGCTCGCTTTCCTTTTTTGGTTTTTCGTGTTCTCGTCGGCGCGTTGGCGTTTATGTTGTTTTAAGTTATTCGTTTTCAGGTTTATTTCGGATTTTCGTGCGGACGCAACTCAATCGCTTTTGGTGTTCGGCTCTCGTTTTCGACTTGCTGTCGTTTTTCCGCGTTCTTTTCCGTTCTTTTTCTTTTTCGTGTTGCTCTTCGGCGCTTTTGGCGTTTATTTGTTCAGTTCCTTCTTTTCAGGTTTCAGGTTTTAGGTTTTCGTGCGGATGCACTTAGTCACTTTTAGTGTTTGGCTCTTTTCGACTTGCTGAGACATCGCTGACTATTGATGGAGTAGTTTTTGTGATAGATCCTGGATGTTCGAAACAAAAAGTTTATAAACAATTCATGTTGAATCACTATTAGTATGACCGATATCTAAAGCTAGTGCTATGCAACATGCTGGTCGCCCTGGTCGTAGTAAGCCTGGTTAGCTTTAATGGTCTTAATCGTTCCCACATTGATAAACTTTGCATTTTAAGAAAGTGTTTGCGGAGATCCCTTTGTTGCTCTATATGCTCACGAGCTTTCTGAGGTACTCAGTCTTCCAGAATCACATGTACGAAAAGTCTGCCTTGCACATCATGACCAGGTATTGTAATGCTTGCTCAGCTTATCCGGAACTTTCGTTTCTAGGACTTGTCTTTTTGTTTGAATGTATCAGCCTATTACTCTGACAAAGTCATACAAGCTAGAGCGAAACACTTTTATTTTTATCATCCATCGTACTGCTTCCGTCACTCCTTTCAACTCTAGCATTAGAAGTAGGTGAGGTGGGGATTGCTATGATTTTGGTAGGTTATTCATGACGTTGGAACAAAGTCATTTTAGCTGCGGATATGTGGAGCAACAAAGTCCCACTCTAATTCGTTTTTTTGGCTTGATCCTTTGCACAACAAACAACATCGTTCAAACTGTTTACATGACCTTGTCAATTTATATGCTGCTCATAAGCGACGCTCCTTTTGGCATCTGTAGAGGATATATTTCAGTTCTTTGTGTTTTTTTTCTGTTGGAGTGCTTATGTTGACGTGAGTTAATTTTGTGAGGCCAATGCACGCGAAAGGCACTCGCCTCTGTAGACTCTACTCGTTATACGATATGTTATCATTCATTCTTTGATTAAGAGACGCGAGTGCGCTTTGCGTACATTTTACTAACAAGTTCATGAATGAATTTGATTACTACCGCGTTTGATTGATTTACTATTAGATTTCGTGCAAGAATATGTTTGAACTCGTTGAAACACGCTGGCTTGAACACTTTCTTTTACGTATTCCTGATATTGAATAATCAAAACGCGTAGAACTCATCCATGAACTTGTTGATCAAACGTACGCAGAGCGTGCTCGCGTCTCTTAATCAGAGGATGAATGATATATGTTGTATATTTTGCAGCATATGAAAAAAACCAGTAGTTGTAGGAGCGGTATTGCTTCCGTCCTCAAATGAACCATAGTACTTCCTCATATGATTCCTTTAGACACAATCCTCAGTTGTGGCGCAAAAACAACATCTACTACTGGTCGCAGTATTAGAATAGTCTCGGAGGTCTCGAAGGTGCTATTGGCCTTGGAGGTACTAGAGGATATGCCGTTTCTGGCACAGTCCGAGAGCAAGCATCTATTCTGAACCTCGCTTCTTAGCTTGTTTTTTATTTCTGGCATTAATACGGATCAACATTCATGGTATAGTGGACCTCTTAAGTAGTTCACGTGATCCTTTTATGACACGTAAAAAGCTAAAACGCATCGATCAAGAGTTTACAGCATCAGCTCAAAATGTCCCTGTTTTCAATCCTACAAAAAAGCGGAGACGCGGGATCAGATAGGGGAGAGTGAAGGAGGAAAGAGCAGGTAGCCGGTTTTTGGCACTCGCTAAATTCTCATATAATCGTTTTCGTAGGAAAATGTACAAGCAGAGAGACAGTACGTATGGCGTGATTACTATACGCGCAACTGCATCTATTCGATACTTGCAGCCGTCGTGGAGTAAACATGATGTTACCTATGGACAAGCGAACTCAAGCTCAACGCAATGTACAACAAAAGTTTTGTTCTGCGATTTGCAGTAGATTGTTTGCAGTTAATTCGAAATAAATGTCTTGTCTCTTCATTCTTCTATCTTCTATCTACAAAGCTAGGGGTGAAAAGGAGGGGGTAAAGAATGGGTTGAAGGTCGCGCTGAACTGCTACCCGGGGAGGGGGGTCGTATTCCGCGGTCGTATGCCATGCTCGACGCTGGTCTAGAGCTAATTTGGATGGGGTTTAGAGCATAGATGCGTTAGGTGGAAAAATTTCTCTGACCCCCTTCACTTTAGGGCCAGCATCTGGTTGACCCCTTTCACCTGAGGTTGAGACTAGAATCAAGGCACAACGGCATAATCAAACAGCTGTTACAACGGCACCTTTTGTTCGGAAAGGAAGCGCCAGCTGCTTTTCTCCTCAGACACCACGACTGCAAGAGAGTATCGAAGCAACAGCGTTTTGTTTAAAAACGCATGCTTGAGACCTTCAGCGCACTCAAAGTGGCATTGATAACGAAACATCATCAAAAATTAAAAAGATGATTTTTCTGATTTTCTTGATTCTTTGAATAATTAACATTGTATCAATGAGTACACACTGTCACAGAAAGAGTTGAGCAAGAGTAGAAAATCTGGACTAGCCAGTGGTGGAAGCATGTTCACTGACAAGAATCGTACTGTATCTCCTTTCACTAGACAGAATAATTACAGATAAAAGGACATTCAGATTACTCGTTTCTCAAGCTTTCGAATCATATACAAGTTCGAAAAAGACCTTCTTGGTCTGAAAAAATAATTATCCAGAATTGGCTGGTGTTGTAGCTGGGTAAAATTGCTCGTATCTCGCTTCACAGAGAAGCTAGGAAAAAAGAGACAGTCTACGTCAATTCCTCGTGTTCTTAGCTCGAACGGTATACAAAGTTTTGGTGCACAAAGCTTTCTAAATCGAAAAAAGTCTTACTCCGGCTACCCATAGGAAGCCGGAGCAGGGTGGTGCAAGTTAGTACTGAATATCTCCACCTCAAATTTAAAAAACCATGAGTTTTTTCACCAAACAACCTAGATACCATTAGAAAGCTCACGAAACAAGGATTCGACATAGGCCGTCTCTTTTTCTCTGGCTCTCCTCTGCTCAGAAATACATGGCATTTAAGCTAAAAACATGTGTTTTTGCCAAGAAATTCCTGCGTGAAGAATGAATGAAAGCGCTTGATTTTCTAACAGTAGCACAGAGCAAGACCTTGCCAGTAAACATAGACCGTCTTTTTTTTTCTAGCTCTCCTCTTTCTCTCAGAAATGGAGCGCAAAGTGATTACATAAAATCAGTTGATGCTAAAGCTAGATATGATTTCTTATATGTGTATTCACAGGAGAGCTGGAAAAAAAGAGACGGTCTACGTCGATTCTATATGTCTCAAGCTTCCGAAAAGTATGTCGACTGATGAAACACAAAGCTTTCCCGAGTTAAAAAATCACTGTTAGATGACCTTCGAAAGCCTAAGCATTGACAAAATCTTTATTTTACACCTCTATACCGCTTATTTTCCTTCTCTTCACTCTCGCTACCGTTAGGCATGCAAGCTTGCGTCAGCATTCATCTCAAGACTCAGTTACCTCCTTCACTTTTCTAGGTCGGAAATAGCCAAAACCCCCTTCACCTGGAGAGGACCCTGCTCCCCCTATCGCACCTATGGTTTAGAGACATAATTGGGGGTTAGAGCTTAATTAGGGCTAGTTACAGTCAGAGGTGCGATAGTCGGAGCCGATTCTCCGCCTACCTTCACTTTTGAGCTGGTACAGGGTGACCATCTTCACTTTTCGGTTTGAAAATTTTTTTTTTGCTAAAGCTCAAAAGAAGGAAAATAAGCAAAAGGAATGTAAAAGAAAGTATTAAGAGCATATATCTATGTAGTAGGTCGATCCAGGCAGTAACCAGAATTTCGAATGATAAAATAATGAAAAATCGTGAAAAATCATTCCACTGTTACAAATCTGCTGGCTGAAGACCTCCGCAGTTGCGACTTCATAGGTTTTGAAGGGTAAGTGTTGTTCTACCATATAGTGAAAGAACCAGTTTGATTTGAGGAGTGGCCGTCGAGAACGAGAATTTTGAAAAACCTTAAAAATCTGCTCAATTTTAGGATGTTTAATGACAACTGACATTTAAACTCTTATAAATCCGGACTTTGAAGGTGTGTGATGTTGCGACTTCATAGCTTTTGTAGGGTGAGGTTTGTCCCCTCAGAACATGTCTTAGTTGTACCGATCCATTGAAACATCGCCGAGATCCAGGCTCCTAAAGAAGCAGGTAAAAAACCGTTTTTCAGCTCATAACTTCTTCAGAATTGCATGAACCATGTTGCGACTTCATAGGTTGGATTCTCCTCACCATGAGCTTTCAAATGATATATAATACGTGGGGGGGGGGTTACGCCTCCCACGGCATATGCCCGGGGGTGGAGTACCTCTCTTCACTAATTCTCCACTGGCGGCCTTCCGCCAATACATTCAAATGGGCGGGGTGGAGAATTAGTGAAGAGGAGTACTCCACCCCGGGTTAGAGCCGCAAGAAATATTGAATCCCCCACATATTATATATCATCTGAAAGCTCTTGAAGAGAAGAATCCAACCTATGAAGTTGCAACATGATTCATGCAGTTCTGAAGAAGTTATGAGCTGAAAAACGGTTTTTTACCTGCTTTTTTAAGAGCCTGGATCTCGGCGATGTTTCAATGGATCGGTACAGCTAAGACATGTTCTGATAGGGCAAACCTCACTTTACAAAACCTATGAAGTCGCAACATCGCATACCTTCAAAGTCCGGAATTATAAGAGTTTAAATGTCAGTTGTCATTAAACAACCTAAAATTGAGAAGATTTTTAAGGGTTTTCAAAATTCTCGTTCTCGGCGGCCACTCCTCGAATCAAACTGATTCATTCACTGTCTGGTAGAACAACACTTACCCTTCAAAACCTATGAAGTCTCAACCGCGGAGGTCTTCAGCCAGCAGATTTGTAACAGGGGAATGATTTTTCACGATTTTTCATAATTTTATTATTCGAAGTTCTGGTTCTCGGCGGTTACTGCCTGGATCGACCTACTTTCTTTGCTGTACATTATAACAAAATTTAATTAATAAAATACGTACAGTTCCGCTGAGTTTTACTTCCAAATACACTATTTAATAAGCACGTTTACTTTAGATATGTATGACGCTGTATACATAGAAATATGCTTTCAATGATCCCTTTTGCATTTGTTTTACTTATTTTCCGCGCACTAACGGCAATGACCCCTGGAAGGATAGACGTTAATGCTCCCTCCCCCCCCCCCGGTCGACGTTTTTGGGAGGTGAGTGTCCGGCACTACCACCTTCACTTTTGGCCGGCCAGTAGTAGCTGGGACCACTTTCACTTTTGGTGGGCCCGGCTCCCCCCATCGCACCTCTGGTTACAGTATGCCGCGGCAGACTTCCGGAGCACAAAATGGGAGGACTCCGGAGTCCAGAATGGGAGGGCTCCGGAGCACAAAATGGGGGGTCTCCGAAGCATAAATGGGAGGTTTCCGGAGCACAAAATGGGAGGGCTCCGGAGCACGAGTGGCAATCCCCCGCTGGGGAAACCCCGCGGCTCGGCCATCTCTGCTCCGGAGGTATGCCGTCGACTGTCTGAGAAAGTCTACATAGAATAAAGCGCAAATTGTTCCTAGATAAGATTACCAAGATATGCAGGAGATGCTGCATTTTCATCTCGACTTCGCTTTCGTCATTATTTGTGCAGTGACATCTGCAGGCAGATAAAGGAACGCAGTTTGTGTTTTCCCAAAAGGAACCGCTGTCATCACATCGTTGTCATCCTATCACGTCATAGTTGCTGGCATCGTATGTGATTTGGATTATGCGGCAATATAATACAATCCAGTTAGCAATTCAATTTTCCCCAGATTGGTCAATTTTGGCATCATCAAATTTTTCTAAGCTAATTTTGGTTTTTTTACAAAAGGAAAACTTATATAACTGCTCAACCTAGTCAGTATCATTACAGTCTTGAGTCATCTCCAAAAGCTTGTTATCTATATGTCTTCTCTTCTTTTTCTTGCTCGCATTGAACAGCCATGTTTACAAAATCGAATTCTACCAGCTGCACTGAACATACCCAGAAGTCAAACAAACCACCAATTCACCTCAAATGGCATCTCAGTTTGCAGTTTTCGCTAGAAGCGTGCTCGGTCCTAACCAGCACTTTCGCGTTGAAAAGAGCTACAATATGCTTTGAGGTCGCGATAATCTTACTTGAGTTGCATTTTATTGCATATCCCAATCGTCGGAAAACGCATATTCTGAGGTGAATCGTACGATCTTCGTGTGGTGAGCGGATTTCTAAACAAACTACAATAATTTATAGGAAACTTGATGAGGCTCACCTAATAAAGTAGTAAGTGATGCGTTCGAACACCTGGTAAAAAGTTAGGCCAACGAAGAATGTGAGCAGTAGCGCCCAAATCAACCTAAAATTGCTTATACTTCACACTTTCAAAGCACATCGAGCTTTCCTTCTGTATATGAAGGCACCAAACTTGAACTTCCTTCGAGAAATATAGTACAGTCTCGCTACGCAAAAACTCAATCATTTTGTCTGGCCCGTTTTTGTTCCAGCTCTGTTTCCTCCCTCCTTCACACTGTTTTTTCACACATTATTGGTCGACTCACTAGTCGAATATACCCCAAAAAATGAAATGTACAAAAAGTTCAGGAAGGAGTGAATTTTGAAGTAAATGTAGAGATCTTAGCGCGTGAACCTCAAACATCTACCCGCAAGACTTTAGAAGCGTTTTGGATTCATTTCAAACAACCCAAAATGAATCGCAAAGATGAATGCCTCTCTATCACACGCGAGCTCGCACCATATCTAGATCAGATTTTCTGATCCGGTGAAGACATGTTAAATCATTCACTTACGTTACCAAGCGCTCGTTTATACTCGAGAATTTTACCGGCGATCGAAAAGGTGAGTACTGCGTGTGGCAGCTTGCCTGTGATCCGGAAGAAAGCTTAGAATTTTGCTTGTGAGGCTGAGAAGATGCTTGATCGGATAGTTTATAGATTGTTGTCGCCCATTTCAGGCTCTGAAGATGGGACATAGCCGAAACGTCAGTCTAATAAATATATTTAACTCTTGGAGTGGCTCAACAATCAAATCAACGAAATGTAAAAAGTTTCTATGAAAGTGAGAATATGGCCTCATTGGAGAATGTTTTTGTTGATTTAATAGTTTGTGATTTTTGAAATCATTACTCTCACTATTGCCTTTCTTTTCCAGAACTGTAGCGGGAACGCAACGCAGAATGAATGATAAGGGTGCCTTCACACCGCGCCGGCAGCCGCCGCTAACCGCCTATAGCCGCTTTTGCGCACTACCCCAGTATTCCAAGGCCTTTACAAAAAGTTAAAAAAAGTTACGCTATTTGTAATCAGCATGCCGAATAACCCCATTAAACCAAGTTTGAGCAAGATTTGTGGTCTCAATATTGGAGTCCGAAAATGGAATAGTTCTTAAAGGCGGCTAGTGGCGGCTGCCCGCGGTATGAAGGCACCCTAACATAGTGACGATTCAGTACCAGCAACTAGATGAGATACCCGGCTGTGTGATAAGCCAGATACGAGCCGTAGCAGCAAACGCGGTGTGCACTCTCATCATGAAACATGCCAAGCGTATGCTAAGTACGTCGCGTGAGCCGCGTATGCCGCGCAGGTCTTGCATTCCACAGGGTGCTGCGCTAGTCATCATAACATGATATACCACTATTCGGTTACTGTCGCAATATTACCCTGTCCCTATCCCACTTTTATATGCGGCGCTCTACCCTCAGTGCTCTAGCGATCGGCGTACTCACTTATCCCCGCTCCCTCTTCCCCGACCAACTCGCAGCCCTGTAGCTCAGAGTTTGCAAAAAATGGAAATCGATACAAGTAATGGGTGTTTCTCAACGGTTATAATAATCGTTATCGGCACGCCTCTTACCCCCCCCCCCCCCTCCCCACCCTTCTCCATGTCAACTCCAATCCTCCCAGCTCAAAATTTGCACAGAATCAACAAGGTGATCAATATTTGCAATCATTGCATTTGTAGCCAACATATGCCTACCTCAATGAGCCAACTCTCACCTTCATAGCACAAAATCTTGATTTTTCACATTCCCCCTTCTTCAAAAACGTTAAAATAGGTATTGACTCATAACGAAGGTAGCCTTTAATATCCGCCTCGTCCAGAAATGTGTACGCAAAGTTTAGTCCGGAACAGTCCAGAAATGGTTTTCTATCACGGGGATGTACATACAGACGTTTATACTTTCAGGCCTGCGCAAAAACAGACAGTCTTGTATATGAAAATAAAAGCTTGTTTTCTCTGCTTAGCCGCTAAGTTAGCTCATTACAAACAGCTGTTTGCCGGGTAGAAGAACGAACGCTTCGATAAGGCATCTCCTTCGCGGACTACTGGTTCTAGCACTATGACAACAGTGGGACGAAAGGACCAGCAGCCCGCGAACGCGGTGCATAATTGAGGTGTTCGTTCCTCTACCGCTGTTTACCCTCTACAAATGAAGAAGAAGAGCAGTTTCATACTACACCATCTAAAGTTTGGTACGCACCTTGACATACCAACTGATCTTTTTTACGCATGTTGACTTTCGATAATTGCAAGGATAAAAGCACAACAACATACTCTAAGTGTTCGAACAATAAGATCACCTCTAAAAGGGAAGAAAAATGCTTGTGCGACTATTTAAAACATACGTCCATGCTGCTTATGCCATAGCCGTAATCACCTTATAGAGTTTCAAAATTGCGGAGTACCGTAATGATGATACTTTTATGCGAGGAAGCCTAAACGTTTCTCAAGAGTATTGTTTCACATGTTTAACATTACATCAAATGGGGATAGGCTGTTTAAATTCGATAGTCTAGAGGCAGAAGCTGTAATGTGAGGGAGTACGCAAAAAGATCTGCAGCACAAGCACTACGAAGGGAGCAGCGCTCTTGTTCAGTGACGAGGTTAAGATATCAATTCTATCAAATCGATAAGAAATATATACCGTCAAAAGCGCCTTCAAAAGCTGATATAAACCTGCTTTCCATACCTGCGAAGCTACCGTGTAGAGAACAACATGACCGCTTGAAATGTCTAGTTTTTGAAGTTGAGGCAGTGTATAACACGAAAAGCCTGAGAGCGCACTATCAATAGATAATGATTATATATATTTATTGATATACGAATAAGCGCTTCTAAAAAGCTCTTCATCAAACATAAGGTGCCAAATTTGGACTTTCACGCTTATATTAATAAAAAAAAGTTACAGCATTGCGACGGTTTTGCGAAGAAAAATATGTCGCGACGGAAAAATTTGTCGCAATCCGTTTTTTTCCCATGAGTTAGGAGCTCAATTGTACTGCAGGCGCCCGCATGCGATTTTTCGGGAATCAAAGATTTTTGACCTTTTCTAGCTGGCTTGTCCTGAACTTCACTTACTTCGGCCTCGTTCTTCCACTCCGCTTCACCTTTCATGAGAAAAGCCCCGAACTTGATGCGGAGTTGGAAATGAGTGCCGTTCTGCTTCCATATATCTGGGAAGATGTGTCTCCGCGTGCTTGATCGTTTTCTCTTGCATATGTTTGCTCAACCTACTTCCTGTGACCCAGAAAGCCACTGCATGTTTCAAAAGCCATCTGTCTTAAAGGCAATGTCTCACCAAAATTTATTTGCCGAGGATTTTTGCATTTTGCAAGCCTGTCGGACCCTGTCTAGCAGTGCATAGGCTTAAAAACGCACGAAGTTCTCAAAAATTCCGTCTTCTGGAGGCCCCGCGGAAGACGTGGACGAGCCGTACCTCCCGTTCACCCTCATCCACGGTGGCAGCAACAGAGGGGAGGTGAAAGCCAAGTGGGGGGGGGACATGTGCAAACGCGTAAGATGGGAGACCGAAGGAGTCGTCCGCGCGTACCAAATCGCTCTCCGCGTACCATTTTGAGCGTTTTATCAGCGTGAAGGGGGTCAAATTGAGTGGGACTTGTTGCAAGGGCCTAGTTAGAGGTCCCTGTAATAGAATATGTGAAGATCCGCGCGACCTCAACTTTGGTGAGACACTGCCTTTAAGCCAGGGCATGCGTACAATGAAATTCCTCATAAGTTTCACTTTGGCATTGTTAGCCCCACTGCTTACACGTCCTTTCTTCTATCGCGCTTTTGTCTGGTATGGAAAGGTGAGAATCTGAAGCGGGGCCGAAGAACAATGCTGTAATCACTCCAAACATCCGGAGAGATGGGTCTTCGTCAAATCTCTCTTCCTCATCTTTGTTCAGACCTACTTCTTGTGTTCTAGGAGTTGTCTATGCCCATTTCAGTACGGATGTGCAGCTACAGCAGCTTCCTCGAACGCATGAAGTACAGCCCCCCATAAAATCATTGCCCACGCGTCGCTTCGAACACCAACGCGCGGCGCGGCTGGAAACGTTTGGTCCCGAAGCGCTACAGGCTTTTTTCGAGCGACAATGAGCGCGCACCTTTTCCACATATATTTTTTTAAACTTTTGAAGGGAGCTTTCGTCAAGATATACCTCGCATTGAGGAGAACAACATGAAAGTTAAAGAAAGATTTTTTTGGAAAGTAGTGGACGCCGACAGTCTTTCGCGACGACCGCTCGCTTACGCTAATGTTTAAGGCACGGCGCGGGCAATTAGGTTTTACGGTGCCTATAGGTCTGAACGAATAATGAAGAAACCATGAACGAGCTCACGACCCATCTTCCTAGGTGCATGGAACGAAACCGTTTCTTCTCCAGACCCCTTCAAGATCGAGCCTTTTTCCATCAGAAAGGGAAGCGGAGTAGAAGGATGAAACCGAAATGAGCGAAGTCTGAGAGAGCACCCTTTGAAAAGGTCAAATTTTTGAAGCCGCGCAAATCGCAGGAGGGAGGCTGCAGCGCATGCAACACAGTTCCGGCACAGTTTCAGCACAGTGCGGACCTGTACTGGAATTGTTCCGGGACTATTAGTGAACCCAGCCCAATGGCAATCTGGGAGCTGATGAGGTCGTAAGTTGATAATGAGTTAAAGAGAAGAATCAGAGAAAACGCTGCTCGTGAGCACTTACGATACTATTGGATCCTACCTGAACCAAGTCTTGTACCGTGTGTGCAGATATCGAAATCCTAACATTGATGTGTCCTCTGCAAAACGATTGAGGGTTGGCTCTATCTCTTTATGTCCATCCGTTTTGCGTCTTCTCGGCATGCACCCCGTCTTGTATGGTGGTTCTAGAATGCTTCTCTATAGAATTTATAGTCTACGATAGAACGACTGCTCTCAAAGTTGTTCAGGATGAGTGAATTGAAGGTAGTGTCCAGCAAAAAGTCGACTTTGAGATTTTGTGATCAACCGGGCATACTCGCTATGCTAAATCCTAAAACCCAAACTGGAGGGCGCGATAACGGCGAAAAAGGGCTTCAACGCAGGAAAAATCAGCAGATTGGTGGGGTCTCCCAATGTAAGTTAATGCTCCCGGCTTCCCGAGAGGTCTTCTCGATTCCGCAAGCCGTTCTGACATCGCCACCAGCCAATTGCGAACGCGTGAGATATGGGAGCCGAGAAGATCGTTCTGAAACCCGGAAGAGTGAATTCACACTGGAGAACACCGCGCCCATCTGCTCTTCCTCCTGCATTAGAGCCTTTTTCACCGTTTTCGCGGTCTCCGGTGTGGGGTTTTGGAATCAGCGTAGCGAATATGGCGTAAGCACACACTCTCAAAACCGACTTTTTTGCCTGACACTGTCTTCAAACGAGGTATGAGCGGTAGCTTATAAACGATCTCTCGTTTCCGGTTCAATTCGCGTTGCTCAAGCACTGGCCTTCCAAGTTCGGATCTGTCCTTCGCTGAAAAGTTCACTTTATTTTTATTCAAAACGCAATACAAAGATACGCAGAGAGAGATGGTAACTGAATTCAACTTTGCCATTTAAATGTAAATGATGGGCGTCTATCGAAGTAAGCAATATTTGCGCGTTAACACGATTTCCGCAAACTACAGTAGTCCAAAAACCATTTTCTTATGACTTGTTTTTCACTTTTTTAGCAAGCTGTTAGTTTGAATCACGAAGAAGTAATTTGCGACATCCGCTAGAATCCTTCGAAGGAAACGAAAACAAGCTCCAAACTTTTCAATATATGTGCTGTAGTTTATTGCATCAAAAATGGCTATTCGTTCCCATATCAAAACTCAAGGGACTAGTTCTCTTTTCTATTTTGATAGGTTTTAGTCAGGGCTGAGCAAGATGTGTGGCACACACCCGCCAAAGACACCCCCCTCCCTCCCTAAGTTCTGTCTCAATACCCCCGCCTGCATTATCGTTTGCCTACCGTAAGCATGATATAAATGTTCTACCAAGCATAATTGGTAAGAGAATATTGATAATACCAGTCAAATAACTCTTGTGGGCCAAATCTTAGCAAATTCCGAAGGTTTCCGATATTAGGCCCATGGAGTGAAGTGTTATCCATATTTAAACATGATTAACTATATCTCAAAAGCGTATTTTACATCAGCATAGTATTTTACGTCAGCATCACCTCGATAACGACCTCAATCACGGCAGGAACTTTCAAGAGGGTAAGGCATCAGGATGCTTGCAATTTGCTTCAGATGTGAAGACAAGCAAGATGGGACTCTCATAGTAGGCTAATCAGAGTCGCTAAATTCGGGTTTGAAATTTGCACGTCACGGTCATGCTTTTCATAGGTTATTTCAGGAGTATGATAGTAACTGCTCTCCCAAAATTGTTACACCCTCAAAAAAGCTTAGAAAGCTTGCAGAAAGTTGCGTAAGAAATGAGCAAAATGCTTGAAAACGCTAATAGACGACTTTCCAAAACTTGCGAAATTTTCTCAACAATCGAGTTATTCCACAATCGCGCTGGATGCAAAGTTCATACAGTAATCCAGCACTAACGAGGAGAGGTCGGAAGTTTGCTGTTTACTGTGTAAATCTAGCGGGAAGTACTTTCAGTGCATTTCATAACATCGGCCACGGCCGATGCTATGAGATGCAGATCGGCTAAAACACTTCTTGTACGCTGTTCAAGTCTGCAGCTCTTTTGCGGAACGCTTCTCTAGGAGTTTTGGAAGTCTAAAAATCCCGTTTCTGGCTCCCCCTAAAGGCACCGTCCACCCTAAGTTGAGGGTCTTGAGTTTTTGGCAGCATGTGATGGCAGGGCCTTCTATCAAGCCAATGCCCAAGTCGCGGCGCAAAATATCGCTTCGGAAGCGATAAAAAATCTCTTCGGAATAGTGAAGAGTATGAAGACCCCAGTTCGGTATCGCCCATTCCAGTAATGCGTGCCGATCCGTGCGCGCTCATGTAATCACTGCTCAACCGTCCTGCGGGTTCTCCGGAACGGGGATTGTCGGGGTTTTCGCGGATTCTATTTAGAAATCATATTTGGAATCAGGGACATGGGCAGACACGGAATGACCAAACTGGAAGCCGAGAATCTGTGTGGACGGCGCATTTAGATTCGAGGAGACGCTGCCTGCATGTTGATGATGTTGCGGTGTAGTGGGCGTGCTGGTAATAGAGGCAAGAGGTAATGTTTTGAATCCGGTGGAAAGTGAACCCCTTTGCATTTTGTGGTAATTAGATAGCGTTTGAAGCGTCTGCAGATATATACAGCAATTTACGGCATATTTGACTAAAAGGGAATTTTTTGGCATTGGATGTAATAAGAACCTCTCCATCGCATTCGAACCATTGACCTCTCTTCTTTAATGCCAGCCCTTAACATTTCACCGCTGCACCACTACCCTACTTATCAGCATCTTCAACGGAATTTTTAAGCATCCATAAACTCCTCTTATTGTTAGAAGAGGTTGCGCAGAAACGAAATGCAGATTCGAAATCAGCTTGCAAAAATGCTCTAGCCGATCTGTAATAACCCATTTCAAAAGGACACGGCCATTGATAGTACTCCCCTCGTAAGTTGAAGCCAGCTCCACAGTGCCTAATGGTCGAGAAAGACGTCGACGCAGGAGAGCTATTAAAGATCAAACAATGTGCACATTATTTATGGGACACCCTGTATGTGCAATCGCTACATAAACTTTGCTTAGAAATCTGATTTTCTTCAGGAAAAAAAGTCGAGAGTTCTTGATGTAGAGAAACAGATAGCCACCTACATCATTACAGGCAGCCCAAAGGTCCATTAGGCGGAATATGCGCAGAGTTTCAATCGGTGACACAAAAAGCATATTTACAGCTAGCTAAAAGCTCTTCTTTACAAGTTATCGAGACTAGTTTGTCCGACTCCTGTTGCTTTCAGTCCCGCGCATTCATTTTTCACAACTTGCGCATATGGCAACTGCTACTCACCAAGAAAGTGCAGGTATCTGATGTCTGTCAAAACATGTCCTATTTCGCAACGGTTTTTGCAGAAGTGCAAGCAGTCTAGCTGTACGTAGGGTTTACCAATGGAAAAAACTCTGATCTTGGTACTTGTAATCTGCCAACGCTTTCGCTTTTTGTAATGGAAGCTTGTGGGCCTTTCGAAATTGACAGACACACGTGATGCTCACTAAATACTCAAAATCCACAAAGTGGTAATCGCAAGAAAGGTCAAGCAAGAGTCAGATTTTTCTTGCCGAATGAACTAACCTTTGAGAACTCAATTAAAAAACACTAGAAGCAAAAACGGTTCTTGGCTTTCCCACTCTATAATTCCAAACTCTAAGCAAACACTAGTCTCAAACCATTTATTTTGCTTCACAATCGCTCATTCTTGAGGCGCTCATGGGAATGACTTTTTTTGAGAATTATTCATATTTTAGAAATCTCTGTCTTTTTGAGCCGATAATAAGCAGAAAGTTGAGGCTGTCAAAAAAAAACTAGAAAGTTATAGCTGTCAAAATTTTCTTAGGGCATTTTCTGAAATGTGCAAAAATGTCGCATGAAGGGTTGTAACGTTTAAACGCTGCCGACATTTATAGCTAGGTAATAAATCAGAATCTCTTGTATGTATCCACTTTTAATCTCAGAGGAGTTTATTAGACTAGCGCAACCATTTGAGTCAAATGCAGACATTCGTGAAGTAAAATGTGTATTGACTGTAGCACAAACATTCTGCTCTAAAATCCCTCACTCGAGGACAGAACAAAATTTCTTGATAAGTCAGACTCTAAAAAGTATAAATTTACCACCTTATCCCAAGGATTTGAAAAAAAAAGGTTGAAAAAAGAGATACAGTAATCTATCATTGACCTTGATTTTGAATTTTAGGAGTTTGAATGCAACTAAATCTTCTCTTCTTGCTTCACATGCGAATGTTAAAATGTCAGAGCAAGAGTTATCACTACACAAAATTGCTTATGGAGTTTAACTTTGCTGCTTTTAACAAAATAAGTGACCGAATAAATGACTGTAATAATCAGTTGAAAAGCCGTCACGTATACCAGATTTAACTAAACGAAGAAGAGGAATTCTTGTAGTCAATTCATGAAGTTTCTGACTCTGAGCTTACAGGTAGCTTTGGAACTGCATAAGTCGTCAAAGGACAAGAGACCTAGCGCAATCTGCTAATGGACATGTAAAGTAAGACATCACCATCAGAAGAAGCTAGTCGTGGAAATTTTGCTTTGTCCTTGCGTCTCATCCGGTAGGATTTGGTTACAAATGCGAAGAGATCATGTTGCGCAGCTAGACATTTTCCCTTAAATCGTGAACAGTGTTAAATAACTCCTAAAAGATTCTGTACACTCATTTTCTCCTTCCTGTAGTTTCTTGATGAGAAAACTCGTAAGGGTGAGTCCACGTTATTACAGATTCAAAACGATCCATTCTAATGTGCTGATGCAGATTCTATTAGTGGTACCAGGAAAAGAGGGTAGGCATAGTCTTTTTTCACTGCATAGGAAAGATGTTCTCAGCATTTTTGAAAAACGTTGAGTAACAAACAATAACCGCTAGTCATTTATTTGTTTAATCTACATATGTATATACTGTAAAGTCGTAAAAATCACGACTAGACCATCACTTTTGAGCACCCGTGTGCCAACTCATTTTTTCTCAATGTGGTATATCTCCGAATAGTAGGAGGGTTGTCAGAATCCGCACCTCCCATAATCGTGAACATTGAAGTCGCCACTCATGCTCTTTGACAGATGAACTAGGCTCAACGTTCAAGATCGATTCAATTGTTTTATTCTGAGCCATGTGACGACCAGTCTTTCAGAAATTACGCGGAGATGGC